GCCAAATCCAGACGGTTCTTGGATCACTGCTTTCTTGACTTTCTTGACTTTTATAGTCCCCACTGTTTACTTCTCTTTTTAAATGCAAAAATGTCAATAAACAGAATTTAACTTCAGAATACTGTAAACCACTGTCACTCTTCTCTGTGATCTCCTCCATGCTGCTTGTGTACGTTTTTTATATCCCTGCCCCAGCTTATAGGTGTGTCATTGATCTCCTTCCCCACCTTCATTTCCTGTCAGGGTGGAAAAAGGCAATTATGTACTTTTAATTTATTGTCCCCCTTTCTGCTTGAATAACTTAACAAACATCCTTATGTTAACAAAACACTCATCTTTTAACAAGATGTTTTTTTGCCTGAAGTACTGTTTCTCCTTTTTTTCCGTACTTTATGCTAAGATAATATAAGCACCTTTAGCTGTAGCTAGATATTTAGCATAGAGACATAAGAGTGGTATCAATCTTCTCATCTAACTGCCAGTATTTTCCCAACAATGTCAACCTATTTCTTTAAAGATAAGGAAGGCGTTTGTATTGCTTTACATTGAAAACAATGAATATGTATATGGTGGATTTTATACAGTTTAAGTTAACTTAATTCAAAACAAAATCAAATAAGCACGGACCTAAGCGAAAAAAGGGGAACTTGGATTGGGGAACTTGGATTGGGGAACTTGGATTGTGGATAAAATGATGACAGTACTGCTGTGATATGCTGCAGGTGGAAATGTAAGACCCACTTTATTTTGTCTGCCTTGAAGATCTAACTTGACACATGAGGAGCAGTCACTTAAGGAGAAACTAATAAAGGTAGCAGCTCTTCCTCTGTTGCTATACTATTTGATATTGCCATTACTAATTCAGGTGAATCCGAACCAGTAACATAAAAACAAAACACACAACTGCATGTCATTGACAGATAAACTGGCAGCAATACAACCTCAAACTCAAGCATATCCACATGGTGAAATCAACTAGTTTCTAATCAAAACCCTCACATATGTCAAGTCTTGGTTTCCAAAATAATTCAAAACAGCAGTGAATAATCTCACAAAATAAACCATAAAAGAGGCAGTGGTTTCAGTATGTTTGATGGCCATGGTTTTCCTTATCAAAGAAAAAGGAATAGGCTGACCCAAATTATATTGTGAGCAGCAAGAGAGCAGTAGTCTCCCTTGTTTTAGAGAGATAAATGTGTGAGGCCCTTTAGATAAAATGACTTTGCTGAATACGACCCTACACTGTGCTGCATTCATGCATTATAGAATGGGTGGTGGGAAATATTTCCAGGCCCATATCATCAGACAACTGAAGACATATGTTCAATTACAGAGTTGGTCCTGTAAAGTTTCCGTGCTTGTTGAGGAAAGTTTAATACTTCAAAGAGTACACAATTATGACTCGGCTGTTAACATGAACACTTTTTAGCAGTTGTAAACTGGTAAATAGAATGTTTTTAATATGGCTTGATTGTGGCATTATGTAACCACAGGAAGTGGAAAATATTCCAATGTTTTGATTGCATTGTATTATGTGGTATTGAAATCAACACATTGACAAAAAGCTGGTAGAACAGTGCTTCAGCGGGCAAATACACAATTTGGATTATAGCAGCTAGTAGCACCATGAATTTGACATCACTTGCAAACTGCTCTCTGCCTCTTCTCGAGGTCTAAATCACAACATTATTATTTAGCTGAAGATATGACAGTGCAAACATACCAAAACCTTTGCAGTTACGTGCAAATTCATTCTTTTAGATCTACACATCTTCTCTTTGCCCCCGCTACACAGTATAAGCAGAACACGAACAGAGAGAAAAATAAACATTTTTAAACCACACAAAGTAAATACAAGCAAATAGCACAGTCGCACAGATACATTATTGATTGGCAGTGATGTTAACACTTTGCTATAAATAAGTAACCTTTACATTTCTTTTAGCAGGTTGAGCAACTGCAAAGGCGCAAATCCTTAAGTGAAATTGCTTCTCATTGTATTGGTTAAAATCCCATTTTGTCTTCCAACAAAAAGCTACATTTTGCTTACTTGCAATTTCTGCTTTGCTCATACATTGTAAGGACACACATTGCTGGTGACCTTGTGCTTTGTCACATTAAATCAGAAAAATAGGATTACGGCTAGGAAAGAGGAATTGTTCGGTGTGAATGTGAAATCCTGAAAAGGTAAGCAAACTCTATCAAAGCTTCTCTGTTACATTAGAAATATTAGTAGGAACAGAAAATCTGCTTTGCATTGAATCACTACCACAGATTATGTTTGAAAAATCCTATTTGCTCATATATAACGGTCGGTGCAGTTCCTTCACAAAGCAACAGTTTCTTTTCTTTGAACAAGATGAATTCTTGCAGTTAAGAAGCACATATATTAGTTCTAATCATTGTACAGTTACAGAGCCTGAAAACTAAACTGTCAGCACATATTCCAACTGTACATTAGAGCTAATAACGTCCAAGCCATTTGCTGCTTCTGTTACTTATGTGGTTTTGTAAGTGTGTAACTGTAATTCAGAAAGTTCATGTTGAAATGAAAGAAGCAGCAGAGCCTAATTAAGCTTCAGAGACTGCAGTGTGCTCTCATTAGAATGACTAGCTCCTTATGCGGACAAACACACACACACACACACACACAAACACACACACAGACAAAACACATTCCCTCACTACTTCAGAAGGACTAGAGTCGACTATTACCATTAATTCTAACATTGCTCTTCTTATCATGACAAAACGTATGTAGTTTTCCAGGCATTCTGTGGTGCAATGATAAAAGTCCAGTAGATACACATCAGAGGGACCAAAATGAGGTAATTGAAGTGATTTCAGAGCATCTGATCCTCTCACTGTTTGTCAGACGGAGAAGGAACAATGACCCAGTGAGAAGTCATCAGCTGCCATTGTCAGAAATAATATCACACATTATGGGAGAGTAATTGGACTGAGATCAAAGAACTCCTTATCGGCAATCTGCTTGATTGCATGATCAATTGCCTGGGCAGTGAAGTATTTATCCTTAAGCTCTGGCAGGACCTTGAATTTGTGATCTGTTCATGTGTTTTAGCATGGCTATAAGGATGGCTGTCCACCACTTTTATCTCAAAAGATATAGTGTTCTTTGTTGAGACATTCATGGTCCCCTGAGGATTGATCCTTTTGACTTTGGTGATCCCATTAGTTTCCCTCAAGCGCCACTATAAGATTAATATCATCCTCACAAATATAGATTTTCATGGGATTTTGTTTTTAATGACATATTTAAACATTCTTGATTGAATTGGTATCAAATGTTGATATTCATATAGTCCCAAGATGATGAATCTTAATGGCTTCCACAGTTCCCCTTTCCTCCCATCAGCTGGTTAACATATGATTGGTTGTTGAAATATATAACATTATAAGATAGATTTTCGTCAAAGTTAGTTCTGACATTCATGTTGAGAGGGCTAATTGATATAACTTTGTTTACATTCCCTTTACTGTCAATAATATGAATGTGCCCATTATTCAGGTTTATGACCATATGAGCAACCTGCAAAATTACTTTCCTATCAGTCTCACTTTTGCTCTGTTCTTAGTGCTCCTGTTGGTTCTGAAAAAAAAACAACAGGAAAAGTGTCCTCTGGGGTACTTAAATTGTAGATTACATATAATAAAGTGGCCTCTAGTGTGTCCTTCCATTAGATACAAAGTGGTGAAGGGCCCTCCAGGTGGTCTTTGATTTAAGAAAACATTATGCATGCCATACACTGTAGTCGGCTCCTCTGCATGCTAAGACTTTCTATGAGGTGTTGGCCTTTTATTGGGTTTCCGCCCGCGCCCGTCGGACAGCTTGTGTCCACTGCTGTATCAACATTGTTATTATGAGCAAGTTAGCATGCTAAGGTTGTCATGTAGCTCAGGTACAGACTCTACGAATACAGAGACAGCTGTAGAAACGCTTGCATGCAATGTACATGTCTAACTGTGATTGTGATTGGCCTAAATACACTGTATAGTGTACATATCCATGTGTGACAGGTGTATTAGGGTGTAATGGCACTAAAACAGCATCTGATCTGGGCAGGTTACTGTCCTGGTGCCTGCTTCCTGCCAGGAGACTGTCTGCCTACTCTCTCTGTTGAATAATGTAACAAGTGGTGAGTGGTGTGGGTGGCAGAGAGGGATGGCCTCTTCTCAAAATAGACTTCAGCGCAAAGGCAGAAGGCTTCAGAGAGAAGATAGCCACACACATTTTGTTATAAAACAGATCTGACAGCAATGTCAATCTGCAGTTATTTATAAGCACTGCAGTTTGGGCAGAATCATAGGCTTGTAATATCTCAAAAGACCAGTAAGGGTCAAGAAAAAGAAGTATGAGAGGGGCATTGGCTTTGAACAGCTGAGTGAGGAAAGTGGCATCAAGGAAATAGGTGTGAATGTTTGATGTATGTGTGTGCTGAGGTGGTTGGGTTCATCCCTGGAGCATGTGAAGCGAACTGCAGCCAGCTGTGACCCTGAGACAGGAGTGGTCCCTTCCTCACACCATGTCTCTCTGTGTGTGTTTTGTGTGTGTGCAACCTGAGCACAGAGAGCATCCTCGCTATTTCAACAGGGGAGTCAACTCCAACTTTCTCTGGGCAGGCAGCGTTTAGCACTTTGAGAGGATGGAGAGCGGGATAAATGGAGCAGAAGAGCTGGATTCCTGAGAGGAGATCCATTAAAAACGAAAATCAGGGGGGGCTGACCATTAAGGGTGGCATGTGGTAGCTGATAAGAAATTTGTGGGCACGTGTTAAGAGTCGCCAGATTTCTGTGCATGCACTCAGAGGCAAGCCGCTCTGTGAGGCAGCAGCGGACGGTGTACTATTTATAGAATCAATGTTGCGGAGGATAAATTAATCAAACTGGGGCTAAAACACTGTTTTCAAGACAATCTGCCGTTTGGTGCTGCATTCTGGGACTCCTGACAGCGCTCGTCGGGTCATGGAGAAAGGACATTCATACCAATCATTTTCCAGCTGATGCCAAGGATGCCTTTTCTCATGCTCTCCAGGAAAGCGCCCCAGTGGACTCCAAACTTTAGTGCGATGGAATCAATTCTTAATCGCAACAGTGGCTGCAATGCTCTTGGGACCTCGTTTAGTTTTGTGTCTTTTCCGAGTCTTAGAATTTCTAAAGAACACTGCAGTGTGGGATGTGAATGATAGTTATTATAAATTAATACAGAAGAGATTTGTTGAGGCGAACTCTCTCTGCTCATCCTCTTTACTTTTATCTTGTGAACATTTCTGTGCCGGCTCCTATGGGAATTAAGCACTCGTCCCGCTGCATGCTCCTCAGGAGAAAAATGGCGGAGTCTGAGAGCATTGAGGTAAGTGTGAGATACACCTTTGATTTTCAGAGGAAACACGTGAGTGCTCGTTCAGAGCCCTACACGTGTCATGCATTATATTAAGCCATTTAGTAGAAGTTGCACCACGGACAAAATGCAGATACTGACAGGGAGATAGCAGTCTGAGGGATGCGATAGGTTACACCACTGCATTAATTTAATATTCATTTTGTGCAGTGAGTGTTTCCAACATCGAGCACATTTGGTTTCACTTTAAATTATACAGTACAGCGATCAAATTGTTCCAAGGAAAATCTTATTTTACAACATTCACACTTGCCCAGTCAGATAGTGTTCAGCGTCGTAAAACATCTATATATTGTGTGATCTATTTGCGTAAAAACACCCCGTTTTAATAAGGAATATGCTGTGAGCATGGTGATGTTTAACGGGACAGAATGTGCTGCTGCTGCTTCAGACAACTTGCGCTGTCCAAGGTACTGCAGCACCTTGCAGAGGAAGAGGAGAGCGCCGATGTGAGGAGCAGTTTGTGGAGAAAAGTACGGTGAGCTAAAGACGTATTGGTTCAGCAGCCTACGAGTCCACATTATTGGTTCCACGTAACACTCCTAAAGGGATCCAAACGGGGATAGTTCGGTACATTTAGATAGAAATCGACGGATTCTAACTGGACGAATCGATAACTCAAAAACAAAACCATCCTAAAAATCACAAACGATGTCTCTTAACGACCGTTTAAAGTAGTAACACAACTAAACAGTTGTTATCAAAATAAGTCAATTTGCACCGTCCTCCGAGCTGTGCAACTTAAACCCCAACCTGCAGCCACAGGAGAGACGAGTGCGCAGGGACCGTCTACAAAGTGTAGGCTAAGTCTATCTCTCTCGCCACGGCCACTGAGACACAGTTCCTTCCAATTTTAAAATTAAAATGTCCCTCAATTGTGATGAAAGGCGGCTCTATATAAAAAAATGGGACCCAATGTGAAAGACATGCGTACATTTGTTGGAACGTTAATGTTGTTGTTTCCACGGAATACAAGTTTACCAAGATGTAAGATTCAAAGCTCCCTGAATGGGTCCTTTGATAAAAAATGGATGTGGGCTTCCCCTTTGTGAAATAACTTTGAAGCACTACACTGAATAATAGTAGAGGAGTGATTCTATAATTTAGGGTGCATTTCACATCAACAAAACAGTACAAAGAAAGTGTTCTTTCTCAATAGAACAATCAGTGGTTCAAGTTAGTATATTCTTCAGTGTAACATATCCACTAGTTGCAAAGCTTAAACATTTTTTTATTTTATTTTATTTTAAGGGAAAGGATGTTTTCACTACTCAGTTTGTCAACTATGTTACGGACAAACTTGATGTCATTACAATCATTTGATTAAGTCCTGCACTTCAAGTAAAATCACATTTGAAAGGCTCTTGAGTCTATTCTACCATATATCCAAAGATTTTTTAAAGTTTAAAAAATAATTGTATTAAAGTTTTGTTTTTTCATGTGATATGTTCAGCACTGTCATTAAGTTTAGGGATATTTTGTATTATAAAACTACCATACAGGTCATTTTGATAGTTTTAAGAGATGTCATGTAAAACTCCAACCTGTGTAGATATACATTATACTATAAAGGATATCAGAAGCACTATTTTAGATATTTTAAATTTGAAAAAATGAGGTGCAACATAGTTGACAATGAAAGTCAAACATTTGACGCAAATAAAATAGTTGACTGGACACATTATTAACCATCAGCACTATGTTAATTTCAAGGCAGAAGTGCAAAATTCCATTGATAATGATGTGTAATGACGTCTACATGTCCTACAAATTGTCAACTAGGTTACCTGTCAACTAAGTTACTACAGTTATTACAGTACTGGGTAACTCAGTTGACAGGTAACCTAGTTGACAATTTCCCTATTTTGACCCATCATTTCAATGGTAGGCCTTGCTTGGATGACCACATGTCATTTTCTTGAACAGGTTAACATCACATTTGAACATATAATTGAATTAAAATCATTAAACAATTGTAAACCATAACAATGTACGTAACATTGTTGATTGTCAATGAGTATATTAATTGACCATGTGCTATTATACATAAAATATTGTAAAAAATTAGAGGACAATCACCACAGTGTGTTCAAAATGTTTGCCAAAGAGGAACATGGCATCATGTGATGCTGGTGACATGGTATTGGGACAAACCATTTTTGAGTTAAAGGGGGGAGTTCTCTTAGTAACATAGTTGACAGAACTTTTGCGGACATTCATATATTAAGATATTTAAATTATTTAAAGGAGGAAATCAATTAAAAATATGTTATTATTCTTTAGTATTTAGACTTTTGAAATAAATGAATACTTTTTTTTATTTACTTTAATGGTTTTTATTCATTATTTTGAAACCAAGACACCCTCAACTGAAAAACGGACAGAGCAAAAATTGACAATTTAAGAACATCATGACACATTTCAAGCTAAATAAAGCATAGGATACACATAATGTTTGTGTGATATTATAACATGCTTTCCAATAATAGGCAAAATATGATATTTTTGAAGAAAATACTTAGAATAATTATAATTATCATCAATGGACATCAATGGACATGGAATGTACCCTAAATTGTAGAATCACTCAGAGGTATTAAATATGTTAGACAAGGAAAAATAAGCACAACATTTTTAAAGGCGCATTTCTTCCAAACAAGTGTTTCAATATAACCATATGAGGCCATTAATGTGTGAAGTTATTTTGGTATATGTATGACAGGGAAATGTTTGAAAACATGTTCTAATTTGTATTATTGCACTTTGTAGACAGTCCCGCGCACTTCTCTTTCCTCCTGCTGCAGGTTGATACCAATGCTTAGCGTGTATTGGCTTGTTTTGACAACAATTAGGTTGTAGCCCATTGTCTACATTACTACAATTGTTAAGAGACGTGGTATGTGTTTTAACAACCATTTGTTTATGAGATATTGATTTGTCAATTTCGAATCCGACAATTTCTAACCTCACCAATCTAACAGGGATTCCTTTGATGCAGGGAATAGTTAAAGTCTATCAATTGCCCCACCTTCCAAATGTACGTTATACACCTTTGATTGAAATAATAATCTACTGTGTTTTTTGTATTTATTTATTTTTTAATTCAGAGCAGCACAACATGAGCCCAATATCTTATTGAGTGCAGTGCCACATCGGTATTCACAATGTAACTAAGCAGTGCTGATAAGTCATGCATTAAAGATTCACCCTGAGAAGCCTCATGTTGCAACATAGCTCATAAAAAGGAAAAGTTACTTCAAAGCAAGTTTATTCCTAGTAGAAGCAATCGCAAAACTCTTATTTTATCGATGAAGGTAGCAGGAACTGCATTCATTTTGCTTGTTGTTTTGGAAAGTTAGATTGTTCAGACGCACCTAAGTGCCATAATGGCAGAAGACCAAAGTGATTCTCTTTCCTCATGATACTGATTTCCCTCAACCTTATGGCAGGAAAAAGCTTTTCCTGTATCTGATACCTTTTTCCGGATATGAATTCCATTGAATTCCATTGAGTTTTACTGCATTATCCTCCTACTGAGATTTTAACAGAGGTGTAACACAAATGTACAGAAGTGCCTGTGTGTCCCCACAGAAGTGCCAAGTCAGTCCTTCTCTTACAACAATCCTATCCTCCATGAAGGCCCAAGGATCAAGTCTGAAATACAACCCTAAATGTGTTTATCTGTCTGGGGGCGTGGGGTCGGAGTCAAGGTCGTATGGCACTCTCTCCTTCCTCTGTCAGGGGGCATCTCAGTTACACTCACTGCAGCTGCTCCATTCTGACCGCACTGCACCCCCTGTCAACTTTAATCTCTGCGCTAAATGACGATTCTCCTGATTTGCAACTTTGAAAGGGATCCCACAATTCTGTATTAAACTTGGCAGCTTTAATCGCCACCTCTGTGGCCCGCCTTGTAATTATTGATTCGTTGAGTGAGGGCTTGGAGCCAGCTGTTCATCAAATCCTTATTTTTTGCTTTCGCTAGTGTAATTTATTTGTAGAAGATGCCAAGATTTCATTTGCAGTGGAAGGCGTGAAAGAACTGAGCTTCAAGGTGAATTACTAGATAAAGTATAATATACGGTTGCCGACAGGTGCCAACACGTTACAACGGCCCAAAACATTTCCATTAGGAGAAGAACGCTGAAGTTACAAAAACGATGCAATAAAAACAACTGTGCAAAAACACATGCAAATGAACAAACATCTTCACTACCTTGAAAGCACATGCGCAGCATTTGGAAAACATTCACCAACTTGAAGAACCATGCGCGGCGTTAACGAAAAGTGGTGCATAAACACAACTCTACAAGAAGCTAAAAAACACAATGAAACGGGGACACTAAAAAGTGAAGTTGCAGTTAAGACTCATTGATTATTTAAATTATAACCACGTCTCAAGAATATTAGCCTCAGAAATAGTAGGTTAATATGCTGCGCAGCACTGAAGTGCACCCTCTTCAGATCAACATCATGGCTTTAAGGATTAGGAGAAGTTGGTATTTTCCTTTTTAATAAGGGAAATGCAAGAAGTTTTTTTAAATGTAAAGACACCTTAATGGTAATATCATTTGTATAACTTCAATACCTTTAAAGCCAAAGAGAAGGCAGCAGTGAAATTGTCATTACTTTAGGGATGGAGAGGGGAGTAATGGAAAATACTTTGTTCCTACAGTATATAAAATGTAAGCGAAATAACTATTTCATATGCAACTTTTTTGCTTTCCGGAGATTAAACATTAAATATGGTGTTGTATAACTAAAGCATCCTCCCATACACCTATTTTCATCCACGGTGCAATAATTTATCATTTATTATTAGAAGGCTGAAAGTTGGAACAAGAACAAACAAAACAATCGGCTTATTGGCACATAACAGAGAAACTGGGAGTCTGTTTCTCCACCTCCCTCGCATTGTGTCTTACTCCCAAACTAACTAACACACACACACACACACACACACACACACACACACACACACACACACACACACACACACACACACACACACACACACACACACACACACACACACACACACACCCTGTGGTTAGACCTTTCCAGCTGGCCTGAGACTTGATAATCAGCGCATTATGGGTGGATCGTCTGTGCAGAGCAGAGCTTTCTTGCCATCCCTCCTGCCTTCTGTTCACAGACTTCATGTCAGTATCAAAGTATTCTCCAGACTCAATGAACTCTCTGGACTCTGTGAAACCACCAGACGGATTCTTGCATCAGTAGACTGACAGTTGAGCTAAGCGGGAAATAGCATATGAAATGGATAGAGATTAGGGCATGAATGCAAATCGCACCGTGATGTTACATCCTCGTCTTGTGTCTGACTTGTAAAGTGATTTGAATAACAAGACCCTAGAGTTCTTGGCCTCAATGAACAATTGTTCCTCTCTTTCTCTCTGTTTCTAGCAGCCACAGCCGCAGCCACGGCCGATCCGCATAATTCAGTCCCAGTCGGCGCAGCCCACCTCATTGCCCAAGCCGGTGCCTTCCATCCAGCATGCCTCACGGCCTCCTCTGCCGCCACACACACCGCATGTGGCCAGCCTGGCCGCCCCTCCTGGGCGGGGGAAGATTTCCAAGTTCCTTAGCCCAGAGGAGATGACCTCACGAGACTACTACTTTGACTCTTACGCCCACTTTGGTATACATGAGGTATGTCATATTGCAGTGAGAATCACTCTTCTGTCTTGTTCCTGTCTGTTTCTTGTCAGGGTTTATTTTATACTTTGTAACATTTCATCAAATAGTGTCAGCAACTAAAGTCCAGAATTAACTGCACTTAAAATAATTGCTATGTGCACATAACTCTTTGGGTTTCCACAATAAAAATCGATAAAAAGAAAAAGAAAGACTACTTAAGACTGCTAAAGATAGTTTGTACTGGACCCTATGGAATATGCATTTGTATTCATCAGATAATAGTTATACCAGCAGCTCCACATATACTTACAACTGCAAACTTAGGGAATAGTCTTTCATTCTCACAGTGACGTAATATATCTTAATTCTGTCATTTTGCAAATTGTTCAACTTGCAGAAGACATTGTTGTTGCAGTATAGTAAATGTCAAATGTAATTCAGAGAACATAGTGAAGTAATTGCTCCATTATTTTAAACCTGAGTGTAAACATATTTAAGTTCGAAGATGCATTGGATAAAAATAGAACTAAGAAATATCCCTGCAAGATCTATTTAAATGGTTATGTTTGCTTTTTCCCTTCTCTAATTTTTGGCTAAGATAATATCATTTTACCTCAGACTTCTTGTTTGATGTGTTGTGTTTTTTTCTATTCACCTATTGCCTTTAGATCTCAGTAATGAATACAATGTCAACCATTAGGAATTGAGCCTAAATTGCAAATGAAACTCGTAATTTGTTCTAGTGTGCATTATTAATTCGGTTTGAAAATAGAACAACATTAGGCAAAAAGCTCAAATCTGTACAGCAACTTTAAAAGGCCAGACTAAAGCCTTGATCTAACTCCAGGGTAGATGACAAAAACTAGATCATGCAGACCCTCATGGCTATGCAGGAACCATGAATCGGTCTTTGATTCCCGCTGACGTTGGTCTCTGTGTTTTTATTTTTCTTCACTCCTTTTTTCTCTTTTAGACCTAATTATTTCAGACTCCTCTAGTATTAGTTGGAAATGCACCATAATGATGATCTTGTGTGACACTTTTTGTGAACTCCCAGCCTCCTCATGCTCTAGACTACACAAACAACCTATAATAGCTTAAATCTCTATGTCGTAGACAGTTAGAACCATGGGTGGGGTTATGGTCAACCAATCCTATCAAAGGACATGAGATCTAATATAATAACATAGACGTTCCTATATGACCTGTGAGATTAGTCTTTTATATTTCTGGGTCAGGGGTCATTTTATTTTTGTAGTTTCCTCACACTCACACATGCATGCATTCAGACAAAGAATGAATGCTCATGGGGTTTATTGGAAAACCAACCCTGGATTTGAATATAGAACCAGATTATGTGTGTTATTTGCCACCGCTCCTCGGCAGATATCCCGGCAAATCCAGCCCCCTGTTGTCCAGCCAATGTTGTTAATTCACAAAACAAATTGTCCCTCTCCTCAGGGGTTAGCTGTGTCAACATCTTCCTGAAATGATTTCTCGTATGCTAAACCAGGAGATGCTGAAGGACGAAGTGAGGACGCTCACCTACAGGAATGCCATGTACCACAACAAGCACGCCTTCAAGGACAAAATCGTTCTGGATGTTGGAAGCGGGACTGGGATCCTGTCCATGTTCGCGGCCAAAGCAGGGGCAAAGCACGTGTATGGGGTAAGATGTGTTTCCTTTCAGCAGAGCGTTATCATGCTGGGCCTGACAAGCTGCTCACACGGTGTGAACCTACTGTATCTGTATGACAGGCTCTCAGCACATACATGTTACCGCATTTTCGCCAGGCTCCCTTTTATCTTCGTGAGAGATTTCGTGTGACAGGCAGATGATAAAACTGTGTGGTCTCTCCGGCAGGCTGACAGGATGAGCTTTAGCGTTTTAAGAGCTCTTTCTGTTTATCGATTAATGGAGCAGAATGAATTGCTAGTCAGGGCATATCTGAGGAGGATACATGCTGGATACCCTCCACCGGTTTGGGATAACAATGTAGAACTTCATTTCTTTCTTCAGGACAACACTGTATTTACTCTCAGGGGAGGAATGGTTTACTTGGAAATGCCAAGAGATATAATGTGTTATGTGTGCCTTGGCCTCGCGTCCCAAATTTGGATTCCTTGCTTATTTGGCTGTTTTGTTCAGTTCTTCAGTGGTGTTCAACCTTGGGGAGAAATGTGGAATAGTTTATTTTCCCTTCTTAATTCACTGTAGAGGCGAGTCCAATGTGTGTAAGAGAGATATTAGAGACTATTTTGATAATAGGTTTCACTTGGCCAATGGTTATCTCCTCAACTGTAGTTGACAACTACAGATTTCTGTTATTAATCATACCAAATTATTCTCAGATGTAGGTCCCTGGAGCAAAATCTTTTCAAATGGGGGTCTGTGACCTAATGTGTATCAAATTAAGGATCCGTGAAACAAAAGATTTTGAGAAGCAGCCTGTCTTTGTAGTTAAACCTGAAATACCACTTCAGTTTGTGCTTAATCTCACATTTGCGATGCTTCTGTCCATCTGGAAAGGATATTTCTATATAAATGGGGCTAAGATATCTGGGATTTATTTGACCTTCGGCTTAGATGCTCTTAGTTTGAGGTCTGCACCGATGCCCGATACCTTTATCAGACCTAAAGCTCATAAAGCTCCATGTGAAAGATGGGCTTGTGAGGTGGAAGTACTGGGCTATGGGCCAATAATAACATCACTCTGCCATATGGGCCTTGTTACAATAAAAATGAAAAGTGATAACCTCTCTGGCTCCATATACTGTAAGACATAAAAGACTCTTTCATGCTGAGGACCATATGTATCATAGAGCCATATAGTCATAATACACTGGTTCCACATTCATTCAAATGTATTGTAATACACATCAAATAAACAGCCGTTGTTTGTTAATTTATTTTTGCTTGAATTTTTATCTCCCCGACAACATTTTTGAAAATACAAAAAGATGGCTCTCTCTGGCTCCATCTGCATTTCTATTTTATTCCGATGAAATGTAGGTCTTCAGGTGTTTTTTTAAGATCAACAACCATTTCCAGCCTAAAAAAGATTAATTGATTTTGAAGCAAGCCTGAGGGCTTTGAATAGATGAAGGAGTGTGAAACCTTTTCCCCTACTTTTATGTTTACTAACAACACTTCATTACAATCCTTGGTTAGCAATACTTTCGTAGTATTTTAAAACTTTAAAAAAAACATTAACTAGTTGTATACAATGGTGGCTCAACTAAATTCTGACTTAATGTGACTCACAACTCAGACACGTGCATGACACCTGAGCAGAATAAGAAACTTGTACCTGTTGTGTCTTCAGACAGAAGGACTAGCAGAAGTCCACCGTGACGAGATGAGTGACATTGACTCTTCATGACACTGGTTTGAGGTGCAAGAGGCCCTGCTTGAGTGTGTGTTGAATCTAAATGCGACCTCGAGGCTGCCACTGGAGCGTGATGGACAGAGGGCTAATGGCTGTCTGTTCTCGCAGAGTTCACTGAGAGAGATGAGGAATCATGGCCAATTAGACGGCTGACGCTTGTACGTCTGTGAGGGCTCAGGCTTACATAAACCTAGTGCAACATTAGGCATTGTTGACACAGCCTGGTGTTAATGGGCAGGTGACAGACAGAAGGCTGTGTGCGCCCCAAGCAGCCTCCTCACCGCTGCTCCACTAACAGGCAGCAGAGAATAGGGCTGCTCCAGGGAGGCAGTGCTAATGTCAAGTCCCTGCACCCTGTATGCACGCTCAGCAGGGAAGCTGACAACCTCAGCCAGGATGCAGATGCCAGAATGTCATGTCAGTGTGTATGGCAAACTGCATATGGAACTGTCATTATTGGGATATTCTTTGATATTACACTACATTTAGCTGACACTTTTATTCAAAGCAGCTTACATTTAGTGCAAAAAACCAAGAAGATACAAATTCAAGAAACAACCAGAAACTGAGACATATTAGCCAGACAAGCAGAGATGTGTGTGTATCAAACATCTCCGGTATCAGATTGGTGAAAAGACAGCAGATAGAATCAGTTGTGTACAATATGCATTACTGTGGTAGTAGAAGCCATGAGGCCAAATTACAGAGTGGAGTGAATTGGTTTACAGAGAAAAGAGGAGGATACCCAGGACGGACCCCTGTGGAACCCCAGTGATGAGTTGACAAGGGTTTGACACAGACTTTAAAGATTATAGAGCCCGGTTTCATATATACACAATTATTAACTTTTTTTATATAGTACGCTTGTTATTCACTAAAATAATTGATAAAAATATGTATTTTCAAACAAATGTTAGGGTAAGTGAATCAAGTATGTTTTGTGTCCATTTTAAGAGTTAATAGTGTACTTTAGTGATGATAATATCGAAAAGGGCAATTTTTGGGAAAGGCTAATCCTGACATCCTTAATGTTCAGTGTCCCAAGCCTAGTACCCCCTTGACCAAAAAGTACCATGAGAGTCCGAGGCAAAGACTGAGTGCTTCCATTATTTAGCGTTTCTCCACAAGTGTCCCATCGGGCTTTGCCTTTTTTCGTTTTTCAATCCACAGCACCTAGAGTTCATTCAAGAGTCCCTTGTTTGATTACCACCAGATGGATCTCTGGCAGCATGAATAAGTCGGCACACCTCTGACAAACCGAGTCCCAGGGCAGGTAGAACAGAGTACACACTGAGGGGAAAATCAATACTCTCAGACTCCCTGATGCTGTAAGAGGTCCGTATTGACAAATGCCTCCTCCTGAATTATGCTCTCATTTAGTTTCGGAGCTGCCTGCTAGAAGTGTCCCCGAGTTTATTCTGATGAATGAGGGAGCTTTATTGTGTTATAACTATGTTAATGCTGGCGCCTCAATAAATCAGCCATCAGTCCCGCAGAGGTGGGCAGAATAGGAAGTTATATGTCAAGCTTAGGACTTGCTAAAAGGAGGAAAGAAAAGTAAAAAGATGGGAGCCTGCCTGTAGGAAAATGGGACAGGGAACTGGGTATTTGAATCAATGGGTGTAAGAAAAAAATAGTAGGGTGAGGATAATTTTAAATAATTAAAAATGAAAATGAATCTAGAAGTCAAAGGTCCCATCGGAGCAAAATGGCTGGTTGCAGTAATGCGGTGACTAATCTTCCCTTTAATTACTTGTACTAAGATTCTCTGGCAGTGTTTCAGGGCCTGGCACAGAGGCTGGTCACCCTGTAAACGCTTCGTATTTATCTTTCAATATTTTCGTCATATCCTTCACACGCAAACTAAGTCAAAAGGCCACCTTAGTTACCTTAATATCCACGTCTACCCTACTTTAATCATTTTCGAATCCTAAATCTATCGATCATAAATCTATCGATTAGATTTATGATTAGAAAATTATAAAAGTAGGGTAGACGTGTGGAGATTATCCGACTGAACAAAACGTGACCCGTCTCTTAAATGTGTGTCAACCACAGACCTTATTTCGAGGTATTTTCCAAAATCCTATGGAGAAATTGCATTGCTTTTTTGTCGAGGGAACCGGAAGAAGCTTACTTACGGTTTTTAGGACACGTCACTGTGGCACTCTATATACACAAATTAGGTTCAGTAGGTATCTTATCCTCCTGCACCCCCCTTCAAATTAGGTTTATATATGGACAAATTATGCTGATAGAGCTTTTATCCAAGGTCAACATCCGTACAGCGGTAACATTTAAAGGGCATGTTATTGCAAGTGATGCCAGTCCATTAAAGATATTCTTCCTAAAGCAGTCCTCCATCCATGGTTATTTAATTAGTTCATTTTCTTTTTCCCTGCCAGATTGAATGTTCCAGCATATCAGAGTACTCAGAGAGGATCATCAAGTCCAACCACCTCGACAGCGGTAAGATCTGTAGCTATTCACCCTCTCTATGATCTGATGAGACTGCACTTTGCATGCAGTGAAGGGAGCAACAAACTAGCTTTCAGTCGTGAAATACATAGTGAATGAGGAAGAGGAAGAAGAAGAAGAAGTAGAAGAAGTAGAAGAAGTATTGGGTATCCTAAAGATCAAGATTTTGAAGGATAGTGTCTCTGATCCTGTGTTGATCATTCCATACTGCATTGGACCATCTCATCTGTATTCATTTGCACATTGAAACTTCAAAGCATATGTTTAAATCATAACACCTTGGTAACTTTGAAAAACTGATTTACTCCCAAGCTTCTGACTGTGTATCAAATGATAGCTCCATAAACCACTCTGTCAGCCAAAGTCTATGAACCTATGAATATCAAGTATGCACTAGTAATTGGAAGGGGATTTAACACTATGTAGCAATCACTAGTTGAAGTATAAGGGTTATCTTGTCATTCTGACGGACACTTTGTATCACCGGATAAACTTATCTTCAAGGCTGAACAAACAAACTGTTGTGTCTCGTCAAATGTGTTAGTTATGTTTATGTATTATGTCTTGTGTTTTATTTTGTACTTTCCTCTTGTCTTTCATTTCAGGCCCTATTTCTTCCTCCCCTTGTGTGTTTTTCCCGCCATCATCAATGGCCGTTTCTCAATGTCGAGTAAAGCTGCTGCAGAGCCACTATTTCAAGTATACTACGTCATCGAGTGGCGCCGAATGCTGGGCATTTAAACAGTCCTTCGGCGCCACTCGATGACGTAGTATACTTGAAATAGTGGCTCTGCAGCAGCTTTACTCGACATTGAGAAACGGCCAGTGTCTGCCCCGCCCCTGATTGTTTCCACCTGTTCCCACTCACCTCATGTTTAAATAGTCCTGTCTTCCCCTGTCCTGTGTCAGTTCGTCTTGTTTGTTTCCCCGAATGGTCATACCAAGCCTCAACTCCGAAAGGATTGCTTTCTCTCATGTCAGGTTATGTTATTTTGTTGATTTATGTAGACTTAAGTTTTTTCTTAAGTTCTCCTTTTGTTATGATTAGTTTTTTCCTCCTTGTGAGCGCTTTTTGTTTATTCCAGTTCCTACTCTGTTAAGAGGGATTACCTGATCATTGGAATTAATAAATACATTGTTATTACATTCAAGACTTTGTCTCTGGGTCGTGCATTTGGGTTCATCAGTTTGTGTCGAGGTCCTGACACAAAGCTGATCTCAGGAAGGGAGATCCCACCTCCATATACGTAAAGCCCAACGGAGTTATTTCCATAAAAACACTATGGCTGCCATGAAAGCACATACTGTATGAAGTGATGTTTCTTACTTTGAGACTTAAATCTGCTTTCTATGTGTCCTGTGAACTTATTTATACTCTTTCAGGCATTATCATAACTTCATTCAATTTTTTATTTTGTACGCCAAAATAAGAGCATTCAAAACAATGTGTTGTGTGTTGCAGTGATCACCATCTTCAAAGGCAAGGTGGAGGAGGTGGAGCTTCCCGTTGAGAAAGTTGACATCATAATATCTGAGTGGATGGGCTACAGCCTCTTCTATGAGTCCATGCTCAACACCGTCATATTTGCCAGGGACAAGTGGCTGGTAGGATGGGTGGAGTGTGCGTGAGTGTGTGTATAGATATGCTAGTTTATCCTTAAAATAAAATATAAGGAAAAAGGGGATTTTTTTTTGGTATGATTGAGATTCCATTCCATTTATCTGGTAACCCCTTAACACAATCTTAATATAAGAAGTATTAGAATTGACTATGATAAAACAGCTCAAATCAAATATAAGTTAACTTTACTGTTAATACAATATGCTCTTTAATGCAATAACATTAACAGGAACAAATCATTGTAGGAAAGCATTAAAATAAGAATTCTATATTGTTAGCAGGCATGTTACATTATTAACCAGTTTGCATTGCTTTTCTCCCTCTGCCAAGGGTTTCATTATTTTTGGTTTGATCTTTTTGTATCTTTCTGCTCGGATTTTCATCAAACCTTGTAGAAGGGTGTAGCATGGGCCAATGAAAACCCATTACATTTTAGAGGGGATCCGAATAACAGGGCAGATACCAGCATTACTTTTTACTTGAGGAAACGACCTTGGCGGAGGTCTGCGCCCTTTCAAGTTCCCTTCTGTATGATCTTGTTATTGGAAAACAATTGTTAAAGTTTTATAATTGTACATCACGAACAGCTCTGCGCACAGTGAATAACATCTTAATCATTTAAAGTTGTACATTACATGCCATTTGTTAGATGCTTTTATCCAAAGCGACTTACATACATTCAGTACTGTGGACAATCCCCACAGGAGCAATTTGGGGGGAAGTGTCTTGCCCAGGGACACAATGACATGCTGACTGCAGTGGGACTTGAACCTGCTATCCCCTGATTTGAAGTCCAGCACACTATCCACTGAGCCACAGCCTTGTACTTGGATGAGGAATACAATATCACCTATGTTGTAATGTAGCCCTTTTATAATCTGTTCTGGACTAATTGCGAGTTATTTCCTTGTCTCGTTTGTCAAACAGAAACCCGGTGGATTAATGTTTCCTGACCGTGCCTCTCTGTACGTGGTGGCCATAGAGGACAGGCAGTACAAAGATTTCAAAATACATTGTAAGTTCATTATGTACAATATGTGGGGCTGATAATGTGTGTTATCTGAAGCAGTACTGTGGAATGACACATGCATCTACTATACTTCATATACTCTGCATAAATCGTTGGCGGCTGTAACCAGGATTATTTCTCTACATTGTCAGTGAACCATGGTTGTAGAACACTCCACACCTCTGCATTGTACTCACACAAGGCTGGCATGCTAATACAAACCCTTTGCATCGCTGCAAATGATTTTAAACTTTACCTCAGGCATAACACAAGCATTGGTAATTGACATTATAAGTCAACAAGCCTCTCCATCTCTATATCATCCTACTCTAAAGCTACCAGGAGGACCGTGGGCGATGTTCTGCTGCGTAGAGTCAGTGTTAAGCCAGTGCACAACCTAGCTGACAACAGGCATGCAAACAGAACAATAGCCAATAGGCCTCTTACTCACACTCCCCCATACTGTACATCTGGGAAATTATACAACCACACTGCACCATGGGGAAGATATATCAAGTTGGCTCACTGCATTGCAAAGATTTCCAATGATGTCTGGATACCATTATTCTCAGGCTGCGACGAGTGTTGACCACATATTGACATCAAACTTCTTTCTCTACGGGGCAACGTGACTTTTAGAAGTGTCCTTCTGAAGCTCTGCAGTATTCTAAGAGCATCCTGTGGTCATTAGTGCTACTCACTGCCTTAGTTAAGTGGGCAGCATGAAATCCAAATAAAAAACATTACATTACCTCAGGGCTTTGTGACCTGTTCATTATCACCAGCGTTCCAACACGCTCTAGTAGTTCTCTCCTTTTAGGTCAAGATAAAGATGTTTGCTCACACTCTATTTTAAGGAGCTTAATGAATAATGTATGAGATGATTTAGTCAAAGCTGCGAGGATATTCAAGGCAAGAGTGGAGGCTGCGTTCAAGGCTGAAAGGCTCATGTTAAAAAAATTATCCCCAAACACAATGTGACTTTCATATGTCACAGGAAAATGGTTCCACGCTGACTGGAGGCCTGACTCTGGGGTTACATCAGAGGACTCTGGTAGTAAGCCCCCCACTAGTATTGCTTTACAGCTACAGCCCAACAGTTTGAAATCCTGTGGCTTTTCCCCTCTAGAAAATTGAATAAAATATATCAAAACTTAAAAGGAACCTGTGTCTTATGTTTGCGATTTACAAAGATGACTTGAACAAATTATGGAAAAGTAACCCGATGCTGTATTTACCAGGGTGGGAGAACGTGTATGGCTTCGACATGACGTGTATCCGTAATGTAGCCATGAGGGAGCCACTGGTGGACGTAGTGGACCAAAAACAGGTGGTGACCAACGCCTGCCTCGTCAAGGTCAGTAACATTTTGACAATATTTTGGCTGAAAGCAGTTGATTCATTTAACACAAAGCCTCACTACCTGTAAATGTCAGCTAGACTCAATGCAGTGCAGCAGAGATGTTACATTAGTGTAGCCGGTATACTTTTTCTGGGGATGGCAGTGTCAAGACTGACATATCTCAATAGCCTTTGGATGGATTGGCATGTAATTTGGTACAGATGTCCATAATGCCCAGAGGATAAATCCTAATGACTTAAAGTGGACCTATCATGCTTTATTTGAATAATATATTGTAGGGCCATACCTATATAAAACATGTCTGCAAAGTTGTTTTTTCAAAATACCAAACAGATCATGCATTTTAGCCATGCCTCATTTCGCTCTATTTGCTCTTTTCCAGCCGTGTTTTTGCAAGGGCTGATTCTGTGACGTAGCTTTAATGCAAATGAGCTGCAGCTGACCACGCCCCCCTGCAGGAGAGGGGAGCGTGCTTTGAGATCAGCTGCTGGGCTCTCAGAAGAGGGGGAGAAAAAGAGAGGCTCCGTCCTCCGTGTTTTATTCTTATATGATTATATAGAGTCATTATTCATTTGTTTTAAAGCTCAATAAATAACAAAGAAGACCTTTGACCGGCACTTTTCTAATTTTGTCCGGAAGATTTAAACTTTAATGGACATGTTGACCGGCGAAAAAAAATCTAACTGAAACTGAAACTCTGCCGCACGGTCCCCTCGTTCCTTGGAAGGTGGGTGTTTGTCATCTGCTGGTGGACTAACCGGAGAGAATTACAGTGCTTGCCTCGACGGGGAGGGATTGCATTGAATTAAAGCAGCAGGAGCAAACGCTTGCCTCGGGGAGGGAGAAAAAGAGCCACAGCGGAGAATAAACAGAAGGGCAACCATGGCAACCATGCGCGGGAAGTCTTCTTCGCTGCTTTTGTGGCAGACTACAGCGCCACTTACAGGCCTGGCATATGTACTACAGCGTCTCCAGCGCTTTCGAGAGGCAATGGCCGGCCGTGGCCCAAACCCAAATTCCCCTGATAGGTGGAGAGTTGGCCATATAGGCGGAGCTCCTCGTTCCTGACGTCAGAGAATTTTCAAATCTGTATCAGTCTGTATCAGATCCGTTGCAGCCCCGTTTTTAGAGATTTGGGTACGGAGGAAAAGAGAGAGGGTTGTGTTTTTCTGACACTTGGTGAGTTCCCTGGAACACCGGGGACACATATTCATGAATAAAAGACGTACAAAAGTGCATTTTGCATGATAGGTCCCCTTTAAGTGATCCTCTTACTTTTCCTCTAGCTCCAGCAGCATTTGTGGTTTTCAGTGAAATCACAATTGTTAAGCCTCAGCTTTACTGTGTGTTTAGTGCTAATCAATAAAAGGGAACATGCAACTGTTATCTAGCTAACGATTACACCTGATTAATATTATAATATTAGCATTGTCATTGTGTGCATGTTAGCATGCTCAATTTAGCATTCAGCTTAAAGCCCTACTCTGCTTAAGGTCAATCGGTGATATTCAGATTTCCATTTTTCCTGAGGACTTTAGAGTGATATTTGGGATGTCTTGAAGTGGGGTCGTTTGAGGGACTTATTCATATTTATTGTCTTATCTACAATAGATTGTTCTCAGCATGCCACCAGTTAAGAGAAGCAGACAGGAGTCACACAAAATATCAATGCAATAAACTGCTGGGGACAGGCCAACATAAGAAAAACATCTTTACAAAATTTGATTAAAAATAACTAAGGCTTTTATTTAGGCTTATATATAGACTATGTTTTGAGTTTTTTCTCTACATATACATGACTGATTATAGGTATTCATGGTACAACAAACTGTTTACTAATGCTGGTTCAGTGTGCCAGAACTAAATGAGCATCCCATATAGTATGTAATAAGGAGTGATAGATCATTTAAATGAAAAGTAAAATGGCTTTAATAAAGTAAACTAGATTGCAGAAATGAAGGAGTATTACAGTGGTTCATATAGAAAAACAATAACTACAAACTATCGATTGATTGGTGAACATATTGTATAACATTCTGTTGCTGGTATGAGTATGACCTTGGTGTGCTGCTGTTGCCCTGTCTGTGCCTCTCACTGTGGCAATTAAACTGATCAGGCTGCTGCCATGCATGCCAATTGCAGCCTGTCTAGTCTTCCTGATTGTGCTCCATGTCATAGTGACCTTGTTATCTCTGGCATTGATTGGAAATCTGTGCCCTGTCTCGCCTCCATCCTGGTGAAAATGGCTGTGGGATCATACCTCCAGTGTTGCTTTCTCGATGTTGCTGATTGTGAAGCACATTGTTTTTATTTATCTTGATTTCATACAAACTTGAATTGAAATGCAATAAGATATAACATACAACCAGCAAAGAGATCAATCATGAGAGTTTAATAAAAACTGGCTTATCTAAAGCTAGTTGAGTAGCACTTGAAATGTTTTGGCTCTATGAAACCTGATGTACTTATATGATTCTGTTTTCTTCAAGTTTGTATCTTCTTGGTCGAATGCACTTATTGTAAGTCGCTTTGGATAAAAGCGTCAGCTCAATGCAATGTAATGTAATGTAATGTAGAAAAAAGAAGCCTCAGAATATTGATGCCCCGCTGACAAGCTTTATTGTCTTTAAATGGATTACTGACCGGCCTCATTAAAGTTGAATAGCTGAGGAGAAGTACACATAGGACCTAATGTTATTAAAGTGCTGCTTGAACCTTTGGTAGCAATACTCTGCAAGGATCATAACCGAGTATAATCCTGCAGAAAATAATCAATTTACATTTACAACCTGCATGATAGGGCTCTTAAAACTTTTATTTTTCCTTCAGAGTAATTGCATGGGTGTAGACATTGCAGAGCCTTATATTGTATTGTAGTCTTAAACTTTGAAATGTGACTTTCAGAAGTTTATACTGCATGACCAGAGTTAATGTCTTGTAATGTGTTTATTGGAGTGATTATTTCCTGAAGATGGCAGGGGGGGATTAGACATTAATATTTCATTGTTTTTATTGCCAGCAAACATAAGGCTCATTCCTCCACAGCTAATGTGACATCTGGTGCTAAAGCAACCAAGCTAGCAGTGAATATCTAATATTGGTGAGGGTACATGAAATACGATTATCACACCTGCCTACGTGTTTATCCTGCAGGGTACTTTGTTTTTTCAGGGGAACTGCTTTCTCCTGTTATTCAGTGATAAAGATGATATGCTGGCGCAGTGCTGTTCACTCGACAGTAAACCACGATCTGGAACAACATGTTCTTCTCTGAACAAGGTCTAGTGGGACAACGGGTTATCAGATACCCCGTTAAACTTACTGGAATCTGGGGACACATACAGATTTGGGGTTGCCCATGCACGAATAACACCTGGAGCCTCACCATAGAGCTCCCAGATGACCTCAGTCCCCGGTTCCCTGTCCTACATGCACCGACACAAGGGTTACATAACCCTGCTGATATTTACCAGGCACAGTACCACTGGTGTCTAATGACCGCCGTATATCATTCTGCTAGTAAAAGCTGTTCTTTCTTGATGTGTGTGTTATTTTCGTCTTTAATGCATGTCAACATTACATGTACAAATTCTGGATTTGTTTCTTTAGCATTTTTAGATGATGTCATATTGTAAGTCTGTGGTTTGAACAACATGGTTGAGGTTAGAACTTTACACCATGAAGAGAAAATAGAAATTGTTTGGCATTTTCGGAAACATGCTTAGCCTTAAGGCTGTTGCTCTTTTACCAAGAGTTTCATGAGAAATGTTGAGTGTATGTAATTCACTTTGGGTAAAACATCTGATAACTAATAATGTCAGTCACAAGTTAACAATAACAATACTACTCCAAGTCCCTATAAAAAAGCTAACGTCAGCAGCTGGTTTTGCTAAAATGAGTTGGCTACAAGCTAGCTTGGCTCATTGACCTACCGGCTTACCAAAAGCTCACTAATTCAATTGTTATATGTTTCTCTAAACCACAAAATATTGTTCAACACTTTATGTGTGTGTGTTTTTAAGCCAGTTAGCTGTTTCTGCATGTTGATTCTTTGTGTTGAGCTAACCAGACGCTAGTTGTAGCGTCACATATAACAGGCAGGAATTAGAGTGGTATCTTCTTAACTACCTTTCGGCTAGAAAGCAACTATACATACTTACCAAAAGGTCAAAATATTCCTTTGCTGATATGCTCCAGATATCTGAGAAGGGTCCTTCTCTTTACTCCCATAGGAGGTGGACATCTACACAGTGAAGACTGAGGACCTGTCGTTCACTTCAGCGTTCTGCCTACAGATCCAAAGGAATGACTACATCCATGCACTGGTCACCTACTTCCACATCGAGTTCACCAAGTGCCACAAGAAGACTGGTTTCTCCACCGGTAAGATGCCTTACATGTTGTCTCATTTGTGATACAGCAATCTATGTATATGTTTCAATGTATGTGCATCTTGGAAGTATTAGAGCTACAGTATTATATTATCATAATCAGGTCGTGGTAATGATAAACAAAACATTTCCTTTTTGATTGCCTGCCTTCACAACAATAAAACAGCATCACCCTGGCTCCAGGTTTAGTATTTCCCTTTAGGCTACTGACAGCAAACAGAGTGGATACTTTACTGAAGAGCTGCTTTTGGTTTCTCATTAATATATTTTCTTCCCTTGATGGCTTCAGTGAGCCCTGTAGTGTAGAGATGAAATTTGCAATGCAAAAGTAGACGGCCCTTCTGATTCACAGCAAGGAAACAAGGGAAAGGTTATGGCCTGTACTTCAAATCAACAGCCCTTACAACGAAAAACAAATAGATCTCCCCATGGAAGCACGGATCTCTGAACAAGTGAACATAAAAGGGCTCAATAGAATAGTTTATTGTAATGTGCTAATACGTTTTAGATCTGTTATCCTCAGACAGAGCCAGGTTAGTTGTTCCCCGTCCTTTTAAGTCTTTATGCTAAGCTATGTTAAATGTCATCAATATTCTATAGTTACCTATTGTATGCAGCAAATAAGTGTTTCTGACTACCACATTAGAAACAAGAAATTAAAGTTAAATATCCACACACTTTGATATTATCATACCAATACAAGAATCTCTGCCCAGATGTCCAAAGTTTGAACTAGTCTGTAGTGCCGCAGTTGAGTGATTGACATAGAGTAGTAATAACTTAATAGCTTAGTAACCTGTTCCATGTGGTTGCTAAGATGTTGGAAAGAGCCGCAAACGACCACACTGAAAATGTGTAGGCAAAAAACGCAAAGGAAACTGTTTCATTTGAGAAGATGCTGGGAAGATTTAACTATAAAAACGATATGGTTAAAGAACAAAAGGAAAACTTTGAGGACATCATTTCCAAAGTCTCTATTGTCATGTAGGCTACTAACGACTACCACATTATTGTAATCAAATACCAAACTGCCCTTTTTATATCAATGTCTGATTGGTTCCCTGTCTTTAATTTTTTATTATTTTGGTGTTGAATATTCAAAAAATGTAACTTTATAGTTATATAACTTGTATTGTTTGCTTGCTTGGGCTTGCAGAGCGTCTGACATTAGTTTATAGTGAATTGTTGGCTATGGTTTATGTTAGCAAGCACTTCCTACACTACTGTAAGGGAGGGAAACTTGAAGGGAGGATATTCCGGGGCTTGTTTTATACCATCTGGAAACGTATTTCACATCATTAGGCAGATAGAAAACATCCACAAGAAAAGATTTTATGTGAAACAGAATGCTCCCAGGAACCTGAAATCAAGGCCATCAGCTGGACAGCTTCACAAGGCACTTGCTTTATTAATGTAGCTGAAGTCAAACGGGAGTTTCTAATGCAGTCTTTGTTGGGACCAAGACATCTATCCCAATCGTAAATGTCACTGTCCCTTTACATTAGAACAACATACATCAGGCTGACTGATATGAGCCAAACAATGCTGGATTAAAGTGAGCACGGGATGTTGTGTCAGAATCTGTGTGGGACTGACCTCTATTGGTAGCCCTAAATATCGCACATTAAAATGATATGTAGAGCAGAATGTATCACTGTTGTAAGAACAAGCTTTCTCTGCCCTACCCACTTCCCCTAAATGTATTCACTGACAGTTTTCTGTTGTGCAAGTTTTCCTATTTCCAGAAAATTCTCATTTACCAAAATGTAAGGATACAGATCTAAACTTTAACGCAGACACAAACAGACTCTCAGCCAAAGGAGGAAACGGCAAGTAAGGGTCAAAGATTGCAATTCATGCTGTCGGTTGAAGAAATGCCATCTCATACCGAATTAGCATAAGAAACGCATCTAGCTTGTCAGTGTCTTTTTTAACTCTGCCCAACAAATGTAAGAGATGAGTCTGTGCTGCAGCCACGCTGATTGGCAAGTCCTTTTATGTATGGTATCACAAAGAGCTTGTGCTTAAAAGCAAAGCTACCAAGCTGGAAGGAATTCGATTTAAGAGCTACTGACCTTTTGAGTCTCAGCAAAGCGATCCGTCACAGCACTGGGTGATGCTCGCACTTATTTTAGGGCTGGGGTGTCAGATTTGACCTGTTTGTGTGTCTCACAAACTCATAGACACAGAGGAGTGCACATAAGGTGGCACAATATAAAAAGCAATTAAATAAGATGGTGTCGTGAAACAGTGAAGAGGTCAAGAATACAGTCATGCATTTCCTGCCTTGTCCTTCAGCGCTGTCATCTTGAATTGAAGTGGAGCTTCCTGCTCTTTCTGCAACATCGCTTCACTTCTAAAAAGACACAGACTAGGTTCCATGCTTCTGCTCTTATTCTGTACAGTTGGTTTGTTCCAGTGGCGAGCCGTCAGGGCCCTCTAGGCCCTCTGTGAGGGCCTAAGATATTCCAAAAAATAATATTTAAAAACATTAAAAAAATATATATTTTTTTAAAATATATATTTTTTTAATATTATTTTTGTTATATTTTTCATTAGTTTTACCGAAAAAAAACTTGATTTAATAAAATAACATTTCCAAAGAAATAAATCCTTCGAATCTGCCTGTTCAGTCTCTGTTTGAATGTCAGTTACTATAGCGGGCCTCTCTGCGATTCACAGAGGGCCCGCTATAGTAACTGAACGAGAGAGTAATGTCAAATGACAGTACAATTGACCAATCATATCTTCCCTCTAAATGGATGGGTTTTATTATCGCGGACTTTATGACGAGTTCCGCCCGCTGTGAAACTTTTCTTGTTTCCATAGCAACAACAACTTCCTGTCAACAGCGTGAACTCGCCTTCAAAATAAAAGCATGCCAAATTACACTTAAGACATGTCAGAGGGCCTAGGTATAAAGCTCACGGCTCGCCACTGGTTTGTTCTCATCCTGACATTCTCGTCAGGTAGAGAAGAGACTGTGTAGAGAAATAGTGCATTTTCTGCAAGGGGAAGACATATTTAGACATTCAGTTTGTGTACTGCCGAAACATCTTTGGTACATCTTTCTTATCAGGAATCTTTTTTAAAGGATTCGATTGTTGCTGAAGGATTTCTTAATGGGTCATAAATAACAAACTCATGCTTTACACTGATATCTGTTATAAGGGCAATATTTAGGTTGACAGATTGTTGAAAAACCCCACTCATTAATAGGGAGGAGTTTCTGACAATCTAACAAGGAAGGCTCTAAGAGAGGGCAGACCAGCGTCAAGTGAAAGATCATTTGAATATCCATCCTTCGGATTCAAAATGTAATAGGTTTCTCCTTAGCCCATGTAAACCTTTCCACAAGATTTCATGAAGCCAGTATCTTTTTACCGCAATCATGCTGACAATCAAACAAACATCCGAAAACATAGCCTGCTTGTCTGAACACTCAGGAATTGTATTTTATTATGAATATAAATAACTTTTTGCTTCTAAATATTGATCAATTGTTAGTCATTAAGATCTGGTCCAGATTCTTTGCAGTCCTTACCACAAAAGTTGTCTAACATTCTTTGTGGAAGGAACACCAGTCAAAGGGTTTCTTTTTAAGACCTGGCAACAAGTCAACACTTCCTATTGATGGCCTATGAGTGATCTAAGTCTGTGTTTCTGTTTGTGTGTGTGTTTCAGCACCAGATGCTCAATACACACACTGGAAGCAGACAGTGTTTTACCTGGAGGACTATTTGACGGTGCGGAGAGGAGAGGAGATTGTCGGCAGTATTGAAATGAAGCCCAATGAGAAAAACAATGTAAGTCTTTTACAGCTTGATGTTCTGGATTTTGAATTATGGCCTTTGGAGTAAAGGTAATAAGTCTTTATCCTTTTTTATACCTTTTCTGAAGTCATAAACACAGGAACGTCAAGTCAGGAAAAGGATAACCACATTATTTGTATATCTTATACATCCTTTAGTAAGAGTTGACAGATTGTTTGCTCCTCAGTGTTGGATAGCGGGCAGGAAGGCAGCAGCACTGCAGAGACTTCCAGACAAACAACAACAGATTCTATTGTTGACCTTTTCCGTGTCCTCTCCTCCCCCTTTAGTATGAAGCTGGCTTCCTCCTGTTGTCTCAAACAAACAGGCTGTGCTTACTTAACACCGTGTTCTGCTGTCAGGACAAAATGGAACAAATGCTACGTGTTTGCTTTACTTCCCCTTTCAAAAGCCCTGGGGGCCGAGGGGCAAACGTTGTAGTCATAAACAGTCTGATCTAAATGTTTCTCTCCTGTGTTAAAGACTTGGGACTAATGGAAATAAAGCTTTTGTCAATAATGCTAATAACAGACTTTAAGTAATCATTATTTTTCAAATGTTTGTTTTAAAAATAAAAGTTGGTTTTATTTTTTTTCTGTGAAAATTCGTAAATAGTTTGCAATTACTATGTCATAAATGAGACTTAAATAATGTATGCTTTCTTTCTGCTAATGTCTATTACTCCATGCCCCTCTTGTGGCGGATTTGAGTTGTACAACAACAAACATTTTTGAAAAATGATCCTAAAAAAACATATATAAAGATCATAAACACAATAAGACTTAGAAAATAATTCACCTTAATCTTTCTTTCTCACTTGCCTTTCAGGGCTTCCGTACCCCTCTCTTTGATAACCATGCTTCTTTTCTCTCCTCTCTTAACCTGCAGCGCGACTTGGACTGTACCTTTGAGCTGGATTTCAAAGGGCAGCTGTGTGAAGCGGAAATATCCCACGACTACAAGATGCGATAAGATGGACTGGGGGACAGTGGCGCCCCACTGAGTACAACCCCTGAGCACCAGAGGGAGACAGAGGCACTCCCATGACCACAGACAGGCACATTGGGTGAAGTTAGAGCAGCAGAGAATCAGAAATAAAGACCAGGCCAAAGACCAAGCAGAGGTGGCCCCAATTACGATTGGCTATTGTCACTCTAGTCACTAGAGTGACAATAGTTATATCATACTAGAGTCTAGTGTGTCATGAAGGCAGGAAGTTAGTCATGCTGACTGTTAAACACACCTGAATGTAAAGGCCCTGACACACCAGGCCGAAATCGGCCGTTTTCGTTAGTCGGACGACGAAGCGTGCCCTGTCGCCCAAACTCAATTTGGTGTGTCCCGCATCGTCGGTCGTGACACGCCTTATTTGGCCTTTCATGGCCGACGCACGGCCGATTCAACATGTTGAATCGGCCGTGCGTCGGCCACAGGCAGTCGGACAAAGAAATCACTCTGATTGGCTGTTCAGCTAGCGAATCAGTGCATGAGAAGCGAAACGGTTTCTTGAGAATGTCTTCCACAAGCAACAATCCAATGGCTGATAGCTCCAGTACCACACGAAACATGTTTTCGATGGACGAGAGTGAAAATGGAACGCACACGCTATTTGTTGTTTGTTTAGATCACGCAGTCTGTTCTTCTTCTCTGTCTTCCGGTTGTTGCCTCTTTTGAATGACGAATACACACTACTGCCGCCTGCTGGTAAGGAGAGTTATTGCCACTCACGCATGCGCAGTTCGTACGTGCTCGGCTGAAGTCTTTGCGGTGTGTTCCAGCGCGACACATGGCCAAGACGCAGGAGAACACGGCAACGCAACAGTCGGCGTCGGCGAGTTCTCTGGTGACTGCTTGGTGTGTCAGGGCCTTAACACAACAAAAAGAGGTCAGAAATAACTCCTAGTCTGAATGTTATTGATTATTGATGTGCGTATATGTGAGATGGAGTGATGTAATTGTGTGTTTTGCTCAGTATTTCTTTTATTTTCACAACAATCTGGACCTTATGGAGGGATAGTTTTAAAGTTACAGTAGAACTCATGTGTTCAACTGCAGTATTGTCCACATTCTGGTATAGATGTAAGGGTTGATTCTCATGTTTTATTATGTAATGTAGGGAATGATTGTTCGAGGCACATTTTTATTTTTAGTTGTGTCAGTTTAGCAATGCAGAAAGACAAACAGCAATTGAAAGCCACAGCCAAGGACATTGTAAGTGTAATGTGAATGGTAACACGTGTTTGCTTAATCGGTGTACTAGTAGCTTTCTGTCAGTGTGTATTAAGAGGTGTCACACAGCCCTGTGTTCTCAGTGTGAGCATAATGTTGACATGTTAATAACAGACCTCCCCCCATCCTAAATGCCTTGACTAAGTGCCGAAGGGTTTTCCTTTTTTTCCCCGTACTGCTGCATCTAGTTTTGTTAATAGTGTTATGTATGGGCGCGCTTTTGGGTTTATTAATATTAGATATAAACAAGCTATGATGCTGCTTTAGTCCTCATCTGGGCACAATCCATGTCAAGCAATACAACTTGAAATTCTTATTAAAGAAATACTTCACCCCCAAGATGATTATTTGTTTTTAAATAACTCACCGTGTTAACTTTTTGTGAATAAAACCATATTGCATGCCTTAATGGTGAACGGTAAAGAAAAGACAGAAACATTTATTTAAAAGGGGCCAAATGATGTGTTTTCCCTTTCCTGTAGTGTGCTATAAAGATTTGTGTGCATGTCAATGATCTGCAAAGGCTAAAATCCCAAAGTTTACGCCAGAAGGAGTTTCCTCCCTTGGAATCCTTTGTTTACTTCAGTAACATAGTGACATCACTATGTAACACTTACACTTCTATTGGCTAGCGCTCCGACACATTGTACGCGAAGGGGGCGGGACATAGTGCAGTTGACAAATCACAACATCTACGGTCAGCTACTAATAAGAGCATACTGGGGTCTGGTTTCAGACTGAAGGTGAAAAAGGGGGCTGCATGAAAAACAAATAAAGACCTTTTTGAACATTAAAGTATGTAAACATGTGACAGTAAAGGCACAAAATAAAGAAATTAACCTGAAATTGAGCATAATAGGGCCCCTTTAAAAGCTGAAGTAAACGGGTAGCGTACATCATGACAAATTAGGCTTCTGCAAATGTTTTGCAAGTTTGTTAACAGATGGTATGATTTAATTTTGTTGTTAAATGCAACCTTAACTTCTATTCATCAATAATCTTTTTGGTGATTCTTCATTCACCATAGATGCATGCGATAAAACAAATTCAAGTTAAAAACAATTTTGTGGGAGAAGTATTCCTTTAAGTCCTAGCCACTAGACTGGTTCTCAACTGGTGGGTCGCGGACCTGTTTCGAGTGGGTCGCAGATGTGTGAGTGAAGAAAAAAAAACTTGAAAAAAGTCAAACTTTTATTTTGAAGGCCCGATTTTCTAACGCTGTGCATGCAGTAGGCCTTGGACTGGAAGTACCGGAGACCATAAACGGTTTTGATAACTTATGTCACGTAGTGATCATCTTCTCAATAAAACATCTTTGCTGATGTTTTTTCGAGTCTTCTGGCCAATCAGAATCAAGATTGTTGCCGGAAGTCCCCACGGAGAATAACTTTGCGGTAGAACTATTCTTTATACATCCATGGGTACAACTTCAGATAAAAATGAACATGTAATGAAATACGACCCCCGGTTTGATGATTGACAGGTCACAGAACAATGGGGGCTATCTACCCTACCCACAATTCACACAGACAAGTTCAGCTGTCAGAACTAAGTGAAAAACAAACAATGGCATAAAATATTATTAATATGTCGGGTAGTAATACATTTATTTATTTTCTTCTCAGAGTGTACCAGAATGCGTAGTTTATATGTTAGTATTTCTAAAAATTTCCTGGGGGTGATTCCCCCCAGACCCCCTGCTGGGGTTGGGTTTTCAGCATGTGTGCCTTTTTATGTTATACAGTTCAGCTTTGATTCCATCATCTCATTAAACCTTTTTTAAAAGCATACTTTAGTTCTGTGAAGGGATATAAGGGATATATTCACTGTACTTCGCTTTAATTAATAATATATGCTGAAAAGCGTATATATTACAGCACGATTTTTTGTTGAATAGATTTGAGTGGTTCAAATTTTGGGTCGCAATTTATTGACAAAGGAAAAAGTGGGTCCCGAGGCCTGACCAGTTGAGAACCACTGCTTTAGAGGACCTGCAGTATCCCTGCACCAATATCTTGGTTTGTGTGTCATGAGATTAGGAATCATGTTTCTTGCAACATGCATACAAGTACACACTGAGGGGTTTCATTCACTCAAGATGTGGACCTGGGCAAAGATTACTCTTAATAATCCTATTAAAGCTTCAAACTACGACTATCAACTAGGGAAACATTTATTATCCCATTATCTTTCCCAGATCATAATTATGTGTATATGATATTATTGTGTCCAGAGACAGCCAGGAAGCAGTTTCTAAACCTATATCTAACTGCAGAGGCCCTATTCATCTTTCGACGGCTGAAATCAAACTGTAACGTTTAATAAATGGAGGAAATATTTATAACGCATGCATCGAATACTAGTTACAGAGAATAAAGTAATTAACTGAGTGCTGCTTCTTCATAGCAGACACTTTCTTTAATCCTGCATATCCTACCGGGCGCTGGCAGCTACAAATAAGCTATGTTTTGAGTCAATAATGCTAACAACGGACTATAAGTAATCATGTTTGTTTAGAATGAGCCCTGTTATTGAGAAGCACCTTTGAAATGTGTTTTCAAAGTTCACCGCTCAAATTACACCGGAAATACGTTTTCAATATAGTTTACAAGTCATACAAATGCTAATAAATTGTCATGCTAATTCCACTAAATATATGTATTTGATTTTCATATTGTCATGTCAACTTGAATAAACAGCAATGTCCAAACTCATCCACTGTGTGACGCTGTTTGACTTATTTTCATGTAATTTAAACAGGAAGAGAACTTTACACTTGATATTAACATTAACATTTCTTTATTTTTTATGTATTGACATGTTCATATTTACATTAAAGTGAAGTGCAAGACACTGGCAGTAGTGGAGCACTATAAGTGACCATAGTGCAATACCAAAGAGCAAAATCTGAACTTTTGACTAAAACCCTTCAGAGTTGATGTTACAGTCACACCATTTTCATAAAATACTTGGCACGGAGGCATATCAAAATGAAATGAAATACATATTTTCTGTAAATAACTGGGGGAGGCTACGGAGCCAATATCCCAACTAACACAAATATTCAGGATTGTGCAGCAAAACACTTAATAAATATCAATAGTAATGAAAAGGGGATACACAAAAGACGGTAAAAAGGGCAAATATTACAATATATTAATTATTTTGGTACCACTTTACAATAAGGCTACCCTTATAAAGGATTCATAAAGGGTTTATAATTAGGTTATGAATTAGGTTGTAAACACTTTATTAATCACTAAGAAGCATTTATAAACCAGTTCTAACATAGTTTTCATACATCAACACAGGCTCACTATTTGGCAAGATGACTAAGCCTTACATTGGCTACTTAGCGAGAATCAACTCAGTGAACAACAGATACCAAGGATGCTGGCTGATGAAGAAGACGAAGTAAGCTAGGTAGCCAATATAAGGCTTAGCAGTACAGATAAATGTGGGCTCACTATTTGGCAAGCAACCGGTCACAGTTGCCCTGTTTATCTCATGTCTTATAAAAGCTTATTAATGATTCATAAAGTGTTCACAACCTAATTAATAAATGAATTACAAACTATACGTAAACCCTACACATTATTTTTATTCATTACATTTAACTGTTGTTGACTTATGTCTGTGTACAAAAGCTGAACAGCTACAAAAAATACACATAACACTGAATTAAAACATTGATATTTAAGGGAACACGTCCAGAGGTGACATATAAAGTTTTCTCGGAAGCTAAATAAATATTTTGAGATCCGCAGTCCCAACATTAAAAAGTATTTGACTCAAAAGGGTCTTGGTTCAACTTACATTTGTTCAGTTGTTTATATAAATATATCTTTCTTTAGAATGTTCTTACATTCTTCTTACTTTTATTATTATTTTACTATATCTTCCTGAAACTTGAGGTTATTTTCACACTAACATGGACAGTTTACAATGTGCAATAACGTACAAACGCTATGAATTCTGGTGTTTACCCAGAGCGGCACAAGGTGGAAGACAGTGAGGAGTTGAGCTGACTTTCATAATAATGTGTCCTCAGTGGTTACTCCATCTGTTTCTTAGTAAAGGGTAGTGCTACTGTGTGTGTTAGCTGTGTTTCCTGTTAGCAGCAGGATCTCTTCTTCTCTGAGGGTCCGCCGTCGACCAGCTGCACCGTCTTCTCCTTCTCTCGGTCCTCCTGCTCCTTCAGGATTCTGAGAGTCACAAAGAGGTATAAACAAATGGAGCAGTGCAAAATTTGCAGCTGCGACTTCTACTGTATTCTAACCTGCAAATGCTTCAGTTCTCCTCTATCTTTATAAATTGTTTAAACCCTGCAGGGTCTTCATTTCTTACTGGGGATTATCTGCAACTATCCTTGCTTATGTATCATGCATGTGTATTGTGTTTTATGTCACAGCATTGAGTGACTGACAGTAGAAGTATCAAGTCAATTGAGAATAAAGGAAGCATGTTAAATGTCTTCATTTATTTGATTTATAGAAAAACACTGACAATCTCACACAAAGACAGAATATGAAGGGTTCCTACAGCTTTAAAAAAGTTGGATTTAAAGGTCCCCTATGATACTGTTTTCCATCAATATATTATAGCTCTCAGATATATACAAAACGTGTCTCTGAAGTGTTTGGCTCAAAATACCAAACAGATCATTGTAGCATCCCATAATCCCCTCTGTTTCAGCCCTGTTTCAAAAGTGCTGATTCTCTGTCTGTTACTTTAGATGAAAATAAGGAGCCACTCCCCACGCTCCTATGAGAGATATTTGGTTAAAAAGAACACAATGGTGGGGGGGGTGGACACAAGTCAAAAAATCGTCATGACATCATAAAGTGGCCAAAATCTGATCAGCTCATTTTCAGACAGGTTTTTATATAAATGGTTCAGGACAAAAAGAGAGAGAATCTTTTTAAACTTTCAGAATCTCTTTTCACATAGGGGACACATGTTTATGTATAAAAGACAGGAAAAAGGGGATTTTGCATAATAGGTGACCTTTAAGATTTTAAACACCTTTTAAAAAACACTGGCAAAGAAAAGACAGAGACTAACTTTACAATTACCAACATTTAAAAAACGAAACATCGATTGCGTGCAGAGTTTGAAACAATTACTGCGCAAAAAACGTTGTGACTCGTAAACATTGCTTCAGTCTTGCTGTGAAATTTGTGTTTTAAAGCCAACTTTTATTGAAAATGCAGATACCTATTTGCTCAAAGCATACAGCCCTAACAGAATATGAGTCGTTGTCTCAAATTATTTTAAATATATATATATATTTGGAGATTTTAAATTCCATTTCCAACAGTAAACACAATTAATGAATTCCTACTTCCTACCTCTTATTGTGCATTGTGCACCTCAGACTAACAAAACTAAGGAAACACTTTAATAGTGACTGCTTTCTCTTGTGACCCTGGAAGCAGCTGATAAGAAAAAGTCCTTTGTGCCAGAAAACAGAACAATCTAAATATGTGTCTCTCTACATTATTAAACTGCTTACTTCAATACAGTTTAATTCCAATTTAGGTTGTTTAAGCAGACACTTGCATACATATGTAGTCTCTTTTTTTTCTTTTAAACTCACACAAATGTCATACATTTTGCTCACCTGGCTAAATGAATCATGGACTCCGCCACATTGCGTCCCGTGAACGCACTGCACTCATAGAAGGCCATTTGGCCGTCCTAATAAAGAGGCAGAGATATTTCAACAGTGTGCACATTGATCAAAGTCATTTTTGTACTAATAGTGGCAAAAAAAAAACATCATTCCTCATGTCACAATATTAGTCTTACATGGTTCTTTACAGTCACCATAGAAACTAAATTAAACACCAGGAGGGATAATAATACAAAGAAAAAAAGATGATAACAAAACAGCCTCAGAATCATCTTGGAGTCATTTCCTTGTTTTTCTGTAATCACGTTTCTTTCTTTCTTTCATCATATCTTTAGAACACAGCACTTCTCTACTGTGGTTGGACGGGCTGGAAATGGATTTGTCGGTGAAGACCTTGAGCTTAGTGGATAAAATCAACAAACTGACCTTGGCTAATCTTTCGCCCACTCCTTTCTGAACTTGTCTCTCGATCTCCTTGTCCGTTTTGTTTGCCAAGAGCATGATGGGAATGTCTTCGCCTGCGCCCTCCTGTGAAAGAAGGTTATCAAACATTACAGACTCAAATAAACTGATCTTAAAATAGTCTTTTACAGCTTGAACACAAGGCCACCAGCTTCCCTGTTTCTATTGGCTCCCCAATGGGGAAACTACAAGCATTGCTGTAAACATTCAGGGACTGACCTTTATTTTTTTGTATTTTTTAGACGGTGAAATAGTTATTCAACATATACAGTACACACTATGTTTCTTTGGACTCTGCTCAAGGCAATCAGAATAAAGAAAGCAAAAGCACACAATTCAAGTAAAACCCAACCATTGGTTCAGCTTGTTTTATTTGAATGTGTGCAGCTCATTGTCACTGTTAACGTCTTACCTTTACATTTGTAAGCCACTGTCTGACAGCGGTGAAGCTCTGCACGGCTGTGATGTCATACATCACAACCACTCCGTCAGCCTTTCGAAAGAACTGTTTGGTGATGCTACGATACCTGCAGGAGGGGCGAAGGGAAAAAGACGGGAAGAGGAAGTGCTGTGTTTACTGTGCCATTTCAAATGTACGGATCGCAAAAATACATGAATTTTATCTCCACATATGAAATGAGTGAGGTGCGTTGTGACACGAATGCAAACTTAAACTCTGAAAAAGGAAAACATTCCATTCAATGGGAATTCAAAACATTTAAAGTGGACCTATCATGCTATATTTGAATTATATAGTGTAGGACCATACCTATATAAGGCATATTTATACTTTTTTTTTTTCAAAATACCAAACAGATCATGCATTTTAGCCATGCCTCATTTTGCTCAATTTGAAATTTTTTAGATCTGTTTTAGCAAGGGCAGATTCAGTGAGAACAGCACCATCTACAGGCCTGGCATATGTACTACAGCGTCTCCAGCGCTTTCGAACGGCAATGGCCGTGGCTGTCTCCTCCTGATTGGTGGAGTTGGCCCAATAGCCGTAGCGCCACTGTCCTGACGTCAGGACAGTGTTCAAATCTGGATCAGTTTTTATCAGATCCGTTGCAGCCCCTTTTTTAGAGATTTGGGTATGGAGGAAAATAGAGAGGGTTGTGTTTTCTGACACTTGGTGAGTTCCCTGGAACACCGGGGACACATATTCATGTATAAAAGACGTACAAAAGTGCATTTTGCATGATAGGTCCCGTTTAAATAAACTGTTTTAAAAGAAAGTAGTTGCACAGTGCCACAACTAAAGCAAAAGTAGAGGTCCATTGAGCCCACTGAATTCAGTCATTTGATTGGTCTATTGAAATAATCCTTCTATTTGGTCCATTGAAACTAATTGGCTCATTGAAAGAAGCAATTATATTGGACCATTCAATCAAGCTCTAGGATTGGTTCATTAAAACAAGCACAGACTATAGAAACTCTTGGATGATAATGCATGCATTTAGCTTAGCTCTTAGTTGCTTTTTGATTTTCCTGTAACAAAAACACTAATACTATGACTGTATTCTTTTTCTTACATACGCCTTTTTTGGGGGCATTTCTCCCCTGAGTTATAGCTGATATGGATGATTAAGAATATTTGTTGTATCTATATATTACATGTCTTAATTTTTCTTTTCACAGAAATGTAAGAAAAGATTAAAAAGAAAAGTATGATTATGTTGCTGCATGAGACCCAATGACCCAATGCTTTCCTTGTGTTGATGCCTCACCTCTCCTGTCCTGCTGTATCCCATAACTGCAGTGCCACCTGGCTGTTATCCACAATAATTGTCTTTACACTGTAATCTATACCTGAGGACACACACAAGAAAATGTTAGTCAGCATATTTGATTTTAATATATAACTGGGAACTATTCTTACAACACAGAACAAACTTCTACATTAGTACCAGTATACTAATATATATGTTGACAGCAATTCATATGATTGTTGCACAATTTAAAAGTCACACATTATAAGTGAAAGGGTTTTTGCTGAAAAAAAAAGTTGGAGGAAAGCAAAAAACTGAAACTGGACTTTTTTTTGAAAAAACCAGAGCATTATTGAACTTTAAAAAGATGTACTTAAAAGTGAATCTCAAAGGATTAGATAAAACATTTTGCAAGTAGTGTTGTAGAACCTATTTTTTATTGTTTTTTGAAATCAAAATGTAATCTTCCAACAGCTTTAAAGAAAGAAGTTTAAAGATGTATATTCTACACAGTGTTGCCATTGCTCCAGATACAAGTGTGTGTCTGCTGTATTCTGTACGTACCCACAGTGGCAGAAGTGCCGGGGTGGAAGCTATCATCACAAAATCGCTGGAGGAGGGACGTCTTTCCCACGCTGGAGTTCCCAACCAGGACGATCTTGAAGAGGCGGTCGGGCGGCGAAGGACCGCCTTCCACCTGGGAAAACAGGAAGCACGGTAACAGAGAATAAACAAAGCTCATGGGATAAAAACCCTATATTTGTAAAGAGGGCTTTAACAGCAGTAAACATAATGAGAGCTTTAACAGGTCTCCTCCCTGTATCCTGACTTGAATGAATCGATGTCCACATGCTTACAGTTATGCTGGTTTCCTTGCCAACAGGCTGACCCCTTGGAGATGTGGGGGTTTCCCTTTCCTCCACATGTTCTTCCGTCTTTTGCTGTTGGGCAGAAGACGCTCCCAGAATATCGCTCATCACCAAGTCTATATTCTCCTCATTGTCAGAGGCTTCCTCTTCTTCACTGCACTCCTGAAGAGGAGTTTGGGCTACAGAGTCATTCTGGAGTAAGCTGGGGAAGGGGTCCTCCTCGATGGAGATGATCCTCTGGAGGTGTCCTCTTGTGTTCGCTCTGACGTAGGACTGGCTCGACCCGTTGGCTAGGTTGTGCCTCGCCGAGCTGGTGGTCATCTCCTCCTCATCGTCACTGCAGATAGGGAGTAACTTTAAAGCTACGGTGCTAATCGAAAGGACACACATCCAATACACTTGGTGAAAAAACAGAGGATGCACTGTAAAATAAATGTGGTTTGCGTTCCATTCGACACAATTGAGAGACAAAGGCTTATCCAGTTAAATCTCATTTATAACTTAGTGATTGTTTACCTTTTGAAGATGTTTGTGTTTGTATGTTTCAGAACACTCATTGAAGGCCTCAAACTTGGTGTTTTCCTATAATTCTTTGGATTCTGTAGAAATGAAAAACATGATGTTTTTATTCATATTGCAGCATGAACTTCAGGGTTGAATCCTAAGTTTATCATTCTGGGCTCTGGTTATCAATGACATCTGTTTATTTATCCCATATTTAAAAGAAGACATAAGGAAGGTATATTTTTTACACAAACAATAAATGACTCATACCTGAAAGCATATGTCCTTCTCATCCCGTAAATGTTTGTTCATTTCCCTTGATAAATCAAAGAAGTAAACATTTTTAAAATGAGTGAGAAATCTTATCATTTAAATGCTGTAGCTAATTGACTGTTTAGCTGAAGATCTTCTGAACCAAAGCTTACACACTCAAGTATTATTGAAAAGTATTCATCATACATTTTGAAAGTTTTGAAATCTTGCATTGCACTGTCAACTTAAGAGACTTGAATTACTAACTGAGTTGTGACTGTAAATTATTTTTGACTGAGCGATACTGTTTTGTTATTTTCCGACAAAGTACACATAGCATCTGGACAGCTTTTTGAAAGCCTAATGATTTGAAACCACATGATTAATATAAATGTCTCTTTACTACATTTATTTATTTTTTGGGTGCCACTCTCCATCCTTACCTCAAAAGGTCCAGTTGTTTGAGGAGGCTTGTTCGCTCTCTCTGCAGTCCCTCAGTCAGTCTGTATATTTCACTGTATTAAACAAAAACCCATCCTGTATTACTAACACATATTTTCACAATGTGTTTTGCGGTTATACTTTGTTAAACAAAACCACCCAGAGCAAAGAAAGACACAATAAGATGATATACTTGTTTGAGTTCATATGACATGATGTATATTCTTGTTGAACTCTCTTAACGAGAATGATACACAAGATTAATTGTGGTTTATAGCAACTCGACTTGCCATGTTTTACCGCCTCTCTAACGAGTACAGCAAGAATGATTCAGCATTTTTACTTCTGGTTCACTTGTCTCAAAGTACATTTCTGAATGTATTTTGGGGTTAAATACGTTTCTGTGGTCTGTGCTTACAGTAACAGAAACGTAAGATATTTAAATCTTCTGTTTTTTGGCTTTACTCATATAAATGTCCTCGCTATAGGATGAATGAGGGATTTCTGATACTCATACATTTAACAAGCTACAACATATCTTTAAAATATTGTTGCTAACAAGTAACTAAATCAGACTACAGAGGTTGTACGGTCGCTATTCCACTTTTTTAAACTTTGGCAATTGTGTTTATTTTTCATTGTCCTAATTTCTGAGGATGATCTTGATCTATTTTAAACTTTTCATTGCCTCAGATAGGGCTGCTCAATTAATCGTATTTTAATCGCAATTACGATTTTGGCTTGCAACGATTATGAAAACAACATCATTGAAATAAAACGATTATTTTTTTTTTTTTTTTTTTTTTAATGTACATTTATTTTTTTATTGGTTTTTCAGTTGAATTATACTTAAAGTTCAGGGTAATCAACTGTTAAAAACATACTGTTCACATTTATTTTTTTCAATAATCGTGATATCAATTATTGACCCAAATAATCGAGATTATGATTTTTGCCATAATCGAGCAATTTGACCAATGAGCAAGAAAAAGCTAATTGAGAGGCAAAATAATAAGTCAGGAGTTATGAAGGAGCCTTAGTGAGTAAGAATAGCTACAACTCACATCTCCTTCTCCTCATGAAGCCGTGTGGACTGGTCCTGCAGCAGACTCAGCTGATCCTGGGCCAGCATCAGCTCCTGGCTGGTGTGCTCCAGCTCCCGGGACAACTCGTCATTCGTGTTCTTCAGCTTCACGTTCTCCACCTTGGTCTCATGTTGTTCAGAGTGAAGATCGTGGCACTGATGCTCCAACTGGAAAAGGTGGTCAAAAATGGAACAAGATCAGTAAAAATAGTTTGAATGTATTTGCTTAAAGGGGACCTATCATGCAAAATGCACTTTTGTACGTCTTTTATACATGAATATGTGTCCCCGGTGTTCCAGGGAACTCACCAAGTGTCAGAAAACACAACCCTCTCTATTTTCCTCCATACCCAAATCTCTAAAAAAGGGGCTGCAACGGATCTGATAAAAAACTGATCCAGATTTGAACACTGTCCTGACGTCAGGAAAGTGGCGCTACGGCTATTGGGCCAACTCTCCACCTATCAGGGGAATGTGGGGTTGGGCCACGGCCGGCCATTGCCGCTCGAAAGCGCTGGAGACGCTGTAGTACATATGCCAGGCCTGTAAGTGGCGCTGTAGTCTGCCACAAAAGCAGCGAAGAAGACTTCCCACTCATGGTTACCATGGTTACCCTTCTGTTTATTCTCCGCTGTGGCTTTTTTTCTCCCTCCCCGAGGCAAGCGTTTGCTCCTGCTGCTTTAATTCAATGCAATCCCTCCCCGTCGAGGCAAGCACTGTAATTCTCTCCGGTTAGTCCACCAGCAGATGACAAACACCCACCTCTCCGCCTCTTCCAAGGAACGAGGGGACCGTGCGGCAGAGTTTCAGTTTCAGTTTCTTTCGCCGGTCAAGATGTCCGTTAAAGTTTAAATCTTCCGGACAAAATTAGAAAAGTGCCGGTCAAAGGTCTTCTTTGTTATTTATTGAGCTTTAAAACAAATGAATAACGACTCTATATAATAATAGGCTATAATAAAACACGGAAGACGGAGATCTATTTTTCTCCCCCTCTTCCGACAGCCCAGCAGCTGTTCAGAGCGCGCTCCCCTCTCCTGCAGAGGGGCGTGGTCAGCTGCAGCTCACAGAATCAGCCCCCTGCAAAAACAGGGCTGGAGAACAGCAAATAGAGCGAAATGAGGCATGGCTTAAAATCATGATCCGTTTGGTATTTTGAAAACAGAAACGTATAAATATACCTTATATAGGTATGGCCCTACAATATATCATTTAAATATAGCATGATAGGTCCACTTTAAGATTAAATACTTGTTCTTATTTTATACTTAAAGAGCAAACCAGAACAAGTAGGTACTTTTAATGAGGCACTACTGACCTTTTATTAGATATTAGAAAAATCTGGTATATTTTTAACTAATTTAGCTAGTGTTATTCACATGTTATACAATAGAAGTCCCTCTGATCACAACACACTGTAAACACAACCTGTAAGACTTTATGTAGGGTATATCAGCCTTTAGTGCCTCCTAGTGGTACACATTCACATATTGTTAATGCTGTCAAAGTGTTAATTGATTTGACTAATTGTATGGATGTGACAGCATTATGTGAAGGAAAAATATCTTCAAACAGCCTACAAATATTTTCAAACAAACTGGTTTTGTAACATGAATTAAATGAACAGATCCATACTAAATGCTTTTAAAGCTGTGAGCCTGTTTGCTAAGGTATTGACTGCCCCACAACACTGGGGACACATCTGACTTATTAATTAGAGGTGATAAGGGGCAGTGAAAAACAAGAAACGTCCTTGTTTGCGTGACCAGAATGAATTCAGTTCACTAATTAGCCTTAAAAGCCTGAGAGCAAGTGTTTAAACAGAGGTGTGACAGAACCTATTAACATCCAGCAGCAGGCGATCAACACACACTGCTGCTGTTGAAGTGTAAGATCAACAGAGAAGCATCAATTAGACTGCATTCGATAATACTGACAAAATAACAACTCCTTTTAAAAGGAGGTTAATGCTTAAATGCAAATCGGCTCTTTCACAACAGTTGGGTTATGGTAATGACTTTGTTTAGTTTGTTTCCTTTCTGTTTCCACATATCAAGTAGAGGGGGCCCTACATATCAAGCAGAGTCAGTGTAAACATAATCATTTTGGGATGCTTTTTTTCTTTTTCAGAAACTTAGTTTTTAACATCAGAAACGTTTTTTTTTCCTTTTTTTCTTTCTTCATGACTAATTAATTAGTTTGCATATACATGTATGCGCGAAAATAGGCTTCCATATGAATGTTTCGTACAGGAGAAATTCACAAACGTTTATTGTTTGGTCTTTAAATGATTGAGAACATGTATTTGTAGTGCACTGGGCACCGAGATCTATCATTGTGTTATGATGACAAATAAAAAAATGTGTTGATGATATACATGTAGAGGTACTACTGTAAATCACTTCATTAGTTTATTTACAGCAATGTTATCTGTCCTCTTAATGTATTAACTTAGCACTTTTTGTGAAACCATGCATCCATCTCTCACTCACCCCTCTCTGCTTCTGAAAGAGCTGTTCAAGCTCCTTCTCCTTACTGGACAGCTGCAGCTCCAGGTCCTGACTGCGACTCAGGAAGCGCTCATAGTCCTTTATGTTTAGAAATAAAAAAGGACACAGTACAAGGGTGATGAGGAAGAAGCTGGCAGTGATTTATAACAACACAAGACAACTAGTTTGATATGAGTACCTGCAGGACAATCCTCTCTTTTTCACTTTTTATTTGCTGCTCCATTTCCTCATAAAGGCGCTGGATCTCATTATCGTGTGTTGCTGATTTCCTGTACGGGTAAAAGCAAGACACAACGATGTGCTGAGCATAGTTTGTAGAAGTTAAAAATGCCTTTAATTAAGTCACTTTAATTCATACTGTACAGTTTTGAATGACCCCGTTGATAAGCACAAAGATGTGACCCCCCCTGACCTTTTGAGAGCGTTCTCCATCTCCCTCTTCTCCTGGGTGGCCTCTATGATCTTGGACGTCACTCTGGACAGGAAGTCCTCAAAATTGGATAAAAGGTGAGGTTCGTCTCTGCGCAGCGTGGCCCACAGACTGCGCACCTCAGCAGGACTAAGGGACAGAATGAGCAGAGGTAACCAAGTGCATTATCAAACTCAATTTCTGATATCTGCAGGTTTTGTGAGAAATGTACTATTCTTTTCATATCATTTGTTTTATTCAAGGACATGGGTGGAAACTCTAGCACAGCAACACATACTAATATATAGATGCAGTCGCTCAAGTACAAGATGAGTTGATGTGTTTTTAAGGACATGATGTTCGTTGCCTTGAGAAATCGATTTATACATTGAGTAAACATTCTTAAACTTTTGTCATAGTAATAAAAATAGTACTAAAGCTTTATTGTATAGCACTTTTCAAACACTAGGTGCCGCTCAAAGTCCTTTAACAACATGGCACACATGACACATTTAAACAGAGAACAAGAACATTCAATGAAGTGCCTTTTTGTGCACATAAAGAGCATAAAAACATATTCTAATAATTGAAGGAACGCAAGGATGTAAAAAAGATATGATGATAAAAAGTTATAATGATCCTAAAGTTCACAACAGATGACCTTCTCACTAAAACAAAGGAAGACATAAGACCAAATGAATACAAAGAATATAAATATAAAAGGAAAAAAATATATATGTACAAACAGGGGATTTTAGGAATTTCTTAGAGCCTGCTGAAGACGATCTTAGGGCTCGTCCAAGGACATAAAAGGACAGAATCAGTGATATATGAGGGGGGCAAACCATTACGAACTTTATAAACCAGTAAAATGAATTTAATCAGAAATATGATTTTTAGTGCAGGTTTGAATGCTGTTGAATGCAATATTGAAAAACTGAGAATAACAATAATAAAACATATTGAAATAAGCATTTCAATCCAACTATCAAACCTGGGTGATGACAGAAATATAATACTATGTGTTGGGGAAATATTTTCCAAGGCCCATAACTTTGACCCAGTTTATCAGTTCATACCGTCCTGACTGAGCACACGCACCTGTAGCCTTGGCTGCTGTGCTCTCAGTGTTTTGTCTCCCTGTTCCTGCCTGTTGGCGTCAGCTGATAGAGGTGTTATGATTCTATCTTGTTATGCACAATGTTGATTATTCTCTCTGAACTAGCTAAATACATGGGTCTGGGGTAGAGTGCTTCAGAATTGACGTGGCAACTCTACCGTGAAGTCAGAACCTCTGACTCTTTGACTTGTTTTGTGAATTCTCCGGCCGAAGCTCCAAAATAAACCATCAGTGTTTGACATCAAAGCTCCAGCTCTCCCCGTGTCTCCTTCCTGAGTCGGTGACTCCTCCTGCATTGCTACACAGAAGTTTCCCCCACACTATGTAATTATCTTTCAACAGGAAACAATGTAATGTGCCTGTAAGCCAGTGGTTCTCAAACTTTTTCTGTCAGGCCCCCCCCAACACAAATAGTCATGTAATGGGCCAAGTTAACATTTATTAAAATACATCAATATGAACGTGTGCATTCCTTTCAATAAAATAAAAAAATCACTTTGCTAGAACAGTGATAATAAAACAATGCTCCATAAGTCTGTGTGCTCAAAAAAAAAAAATACATAATACAATTGTGCAATCCCTTTGCTAGAACAATAAATTATAATACTTTGCCACTTTTCAATCTGTGCAAAAAAATGAAAAGAAAGAAAATGCTGATATTTGGCAAAAAGGTGTGTCTTATCATTAGTGGCTGCAATGAGCCTGTTTTGCACTGCACATTTCTTCAAAACGGGGTTGCAGGCTCAGTGGCGGCGCCAGAGATTTATTTTGGGGGTGCTGTGGGGTAGCTTGACGTTTCATAGAGGGTGCTCAAACATTTAGGGTTTCCCATTAATGTACCGGGCGCTACAGTGGAATTTTCTACTGCAACACTCCCCACGCAAATACACAGTGTACCCGCGACTGTTACAATGAAGGCTCGATAATCAGCTCACGGCATATGGGTGTAAGCAGGGGTAAAGTGCTATTTTTATAAGTGGGGAGTGGACCTAACATAGGAGGGTCCGGGGGCATGCTCCCCCGGGAAGATTTTTTTTTAATTATTGAAGTTAAAAGCATCAATCTGGTGCACTTTGAGAGCAAAATGAAGAGATCTATGGATACCTCTCTCAACACCCATATGAAACAGAACTGTAAACAGATTTACTTTTTCTTTATGGATATTTTACAAATCATTCCCCTTTTAAACTTTTTTTTTTTTTTTACATATAGTATTTCATACCTGTTTTTAATTTATTCTCTTATTTTTTTATAACTATAATGATCATATAAACGTGTGCCTCGGAAATAATTGTTTACATTAATCGTGACCAAAACGTTTGAGACCCGGCCACTAGCTCGCTAGCACCAGAAGCTAACAACAACGATCTCCGATACCGGTGCGCTCTCTCTCTCTCGCGCGTGCGCACGCACACAAAATGGCTCGTTCCACACACACACAGAGCCGAGCTTGAATGAAACACAGAGACCCAGACGTACTTGTACTGTACTGTATCATATTATTTTCGAATCAATAATATATATATTTTCTTTTAAACATTTTTTCTCCTGGTCTCTCGCCCCCCCTGTCATGCCTCTGCGCCCCCTACCCAACATAAGGTAGGGAAAAACAAACACTTCCCTTGAAGCTTTTTCAACAGTTAGACATCCTTTAAATATGGCCAACATCAATATCAGTTAGTGCTGCACAAACTCATCTGATCTGAAATGTCAACTGGAGCTAACCAGGTAGGCGGAAGGCAAAAGGATGTTTAAATTTGGCATCCACCTCCACCACCGTTTGCTTTTATTGAGTTGTTTGTTAAAGGTGAGTCCATTCATGCTCTTCATAAGATCCTGTCTTTATCCAGAGTTATCTTTTTTAGGCAAACAGACTTCAACAAGAGCTTCAAATGCCTTTCAATATTGAATAAAATGCAGAGAATATTAAAATCATTCAGATACGTTTTGTGAAGTGGGGCTTAAGTGTGAAGCTTTTCACTAACCCTAATGTTTAATGCTGCATTTCTATGCTTCAAACACAAAACTATAAGTAACACACTTCAATATTTAAGCTGTCACACTACTTAAAGGGGCCGTATTATGCTCATTTTGAGGTTCATATTTGTATTTTGTTCATCTACTGTGACATGTCGACATGCTTCAAATGTTCCTCGTGCTGCAGCACCTCTTTTCACCCTCTGTCTGAAACCAGAGCCCTGTCTGCTCTGATTGGTCAGCTGGACGGCTCTGTAGTTATTGGTTAACGCCCCTTAGCCTATCATGTACAATGTGTTGGATTGCTAGCCAATAGAGGTGCAAGTGTTACATAGTGATGTAATTACGTTATGGAAGAAAACAAAGGAGTCCAATCGAGGCGTTTCAGGCAGGGGTCGGGGAGTGTGGGAGAGAAACTCCTTCCACAGGGATCTTTGGGATTTTAGACTTTGCAGACCATTTACATTCACAACAACCTTGATAACACACTACAGAAAATGGAAAACACCAAAAAGCATAATCGGGCCTCTTAAAATAAAAGAGGCAGAGCAGAGATTGCTCACAGGAACGGCTTTGCTTGAGAGTGGAAACTTCCAACTCTTGTTTAGTTTGATCAGCTGATAAAAGTCTCAGGCTATGTTGCTTAAAATGTAGTGTAGACTTAAAGCAGACATTAACAAAGTGTGCAAAGATATGACGTTGCTTATCACCACACGGTGTAAACACAAAGAACACACGCCCATACAGTACTCACTCTTCAAAGACGCTGTTCGCCCCGAGGCTCTCCATGAGCATGCCAAAGTGTTTCTCCTCTTCATCCTTGTCTGGTCTCGCCAGGCTCTCCTCCCACTGGGTCTGGTACAGGACCTCTGTCGGGCTTTTACAGGCGTTCTTCTCCCCCATGCCTTCCTCTACTGAAATCTTCTGACCTGATAAAAACGTACCTAGAAAAACAAACAGAATTTAAGTCCACAATCAGACTACTCTTTCTGTGATAGTAAGGTTCTTTTTTGTAGAAACAGAAACAGAAAGAAATCGTACTAAAGCCGGAGGAGAACTCGTCGAGGGTGAGGAATCCATTGCCGTCAGTATCGAGGGTATCAAATACGTTCTCCAACTCCTCCGCACTGAGAGGGAGCTCAGCGTTCAGCCTCTATTTAAAAAGACACAAAACACAGCTGCTACTGACGAGAACATTAACCCTACTGTAGCTATAACAACTGCTACTTGAGCCCTAAGAGCACAGACATTAGTGCAGTAGCTCATCAAGTGGAAAGGAAAACATGGTGGTTATTTTTAAACTAAAGTAGCCGAAAAGTTATTTGCCAAATAGCTTCTTTATTTTTCCAAGCAGCAAATGTTTAATTGTCATGCATTGTCTCAATCAACACATTGCTTCACACTCATCTAATTAAAGCAACTAACAGCTGGAATCTGTCCAGTGCAGCTACAGTTTTTAATGAGTGACCGCTGGGCAGCCCCGCAGGAACAGACAATGACTGTCCTTCAACACAATATCTTTAGCCCATTCTATCAAAAGGGACATGTTTGGCTTTTAATTATTTGATCATTCTGGCTATGTTGTATGCATATGGCATACATGTTTGCCAGGTTGTGTTTCTTGAATCCTCAAATTCTGAAGGTTCAACTTCAGCTCCTATAATATTATTATAAATAATAATCAAAATATACAAACAAATTCAAACTAATTCCCTATTAAAAGCCATGACCAATCAAGACAATGAGGCTATAGCACTCCAATATATCAGAGTTTAAATCTATAGCCCTGGCTACAAAATTCTAATTTATTTACTATTTTCACCATATTGATAAATTTTCTAATATTTATCCTATGGGGAAAACATGTGTTATCAATAATTATCTATACATCATTTTACGACTGTTTTTGTCACAGATACCAGAGAAACCTTTATTAAGAGATGCCCAAGGGTTAAGTTAAGATAATAATTGAGAGACAGCTCCTCCCAAACCAAAGATACATGACAGAATGAGAACCTCCCGAAAAACGATTTAACCATACACTGTTGGATTATTTAGACACAAAGCTAACACAGCCACACCTCTGTTAGCAGCTTGGGTTTTATGCTGTGTTTACACTGCTGCAAAATGTTGACCAAGGGACCGGGAAAGGGTAGGATCTGTGTAAGACCATCAGCTGTTCTTGTAAAGTGTGTTATCTGGGCAGAACATATCCCTAATGTCAGCAAACAGTAGCATTGTGAAGCTAGTGCATTGGTGGTAAGACTGTGAGTCTGTGGAACTATTGTGGTTGTCAAAAGTGCACATAAATGTTAGCAGTGCTTCTCACTGAGCTTCTACAAGCTCTAACAGATGTAAGGAAAGTGTCAAACAAATATAACTAAGAGTAACAAGCGCTGCTTTGAGTACTATTTACTCTTCAGTAACAAAAAGACGGTCACATAAATAGAAGTGAGAAGTTCCTGCTCGCCATCTAATTTCCAAGCTACTGTATTATCATAAACACCAGATCAAAAGCTTCCCCTCTGGGTATTTATGCTCCTCGGAGCGAGAGTCCTACAAGTGCTTCTTCAAAGGATTAGCCGCGGCAGGGATGAATATCCAAGCGGCGAGTGAATCTGCACTATAATGCGAGTGGAGTAGCTGCATGACAAAGCTTCCAGTGGCTCTCTGTGTCTCTTTCATGCTGCTTTGAATAAGGTGCACATGTCCTATCTTTGTCCTGTTCAGCAGCATTAATGAGGGTGCAGACTGTCCCTGTGTTTTATACTCATTCTGGATGAATAAGCAGGAAACCAATTATGAAACTGTGAAAGTGATCCCCTGTTTACTGTGGATGCTTAAATGTGGTCCAAACAGCGCTCATGCTTTGTTGTTAAGGAGTTTACACAATTGATTCAACAAAATGTTTCTTTTTTTTCTGTGGTAAATATGCCTCTAACTGTAATCCAACTTTCATTTAACTAACGGTGAGTTTTTACACTACTTTGTAACACTTGTGCAGTTATGGCAGTCGCCCTCGCATCAGTATCCTCACCTGCATATCCCGTCGGGAGATGAAGCCCTTGTTCTCGATGTCACACATCTTAAAGAACTCGTGGGTTTTCTCCAAAATAGTGTTTTGTCGCACCTCCCCATTCTTCGCCTCGTCGCCGCTCCCTTGCCTTTGCCATGAAGTTCGGGCCACCTTGGCGTTGGTCGTGGCACGAGGAGCAGTAAAGGTTGCCATGGTATTTGTGAGTCCGTTGATACGAGAGCGTTTATTTCCCTCGTCTGTCACATGAGCAGGGCACACACAGACAGAGCTTCGAAAGGAAAAGGATCCTGGAGAAGTGGAGCTTGAGGCTTCGCTACATCAGAGGCTCTCACCAATGTCACAGAGTGTCATCTCTTAGCAACCGCCTCTTTAATTAGTCGATGAAACCTAGGAGAGAGACGGGAGGAGAGTCTTCAGTTTGAATAAGTACAGCTCCTCGCACAATAAAACCGTTATAAATATAAAAATGAGTGTACTGCATCAGAAACCTGTTATTATACAAAATATAAGGTCTAGAAAAGGAAGCACTGTTAAACTAAATAAATCAGAAAGATTCTTAAAAAAAATATATATATATCATAAATGTGTACTCTAGCGTGCATTTAAAAGGAACATACTTTAGATTTGATGGGTTCTAAATATGCCAAAAAAACACTTTTTAAACAAATGATGTTGTTTATGACACAATTAGAGAAACAATATATTCATTATTGTTCTTTCTTGCTCTTTCCGCCATCTGTCACACACATTTTCAGTCTGATTTACACAATTTTGTGCAATGTCACTCACTGCGTGCTCTACATCTGAGTCAACTGCTGCTCTTTACTTCAGCCCTCGCTGAGACGAATGCCTTTTGACAAGTTGAACCAAAACTCAAAAGAAAGTTGAGGTATGACGAGGAGGGTCTTGTCTACCTGGAAATATTGACTGATATAACTCACGTGGTGGGTTTCATGGGGACTACAGTTCTACGGGGCACTGGTGTGGAAGACTGCCTTCAGGAGTCGATTCATGAACAGACAGTGTGCGAGTGTGTTTACCCAAGCAAATGTAGACTTGTGGGACTGGTATAAGTCAAACAGAAGAAAATAGACAAGCATGTAGGAAGTGGAAAGACAGAGGAGAATACAGGGTGAGAGACATAATACTACCCTAACTCTAGACAACTCTAGACAAATATAATCTATATTGTTTGCTCATGAAACTCAGTGAAGCTTTTTTAGTTGACACATTTGATATGAAATGTAATGTAAGTATATAGCACTTATATGGAAGTATACTGGAAATAATATATTTGTTTATTAAATAATTGTTCTTCAGAGGTCCCTGTACATGAGTGTTAACATTTTGTTTATCTCAACATTTCTTAATGTCATGCTTGAAAGTTTGAGCCAAAACATTGTGAAACATATTGCAGGCATGACACACATCCAGAGGAACGTCACCAACCCACAATGAGCAAGAGACACGTAAAGCATTAGCGAGGAAATAAGAAAGGGAACTAAGATGAAGTAGTGAAAGGTTGATGTTGTGTTTGTTTTCCCTCAAGCATACAATTGTAATAACAGACTCTTCTTTAAGTCAGAAGCCCTAAAAATGTTTATGGCTCCTTTGTTAAAGCATGGTGACAGACAGGTGGCCAGTGACTTAGGACTAGATTAGAAAGATATCAGACAATAAAAAACACTTTCAATTCCAAAGATATTTGTGATGCAATGTAAGGACATGATTTGATACCCCATTATGTCAGTCTAACTTCACTAAATTGCAATCGAGCATTCGTTAACATAATATAAACATGTTTGCATTATCATTTACCTTTAGATCCAACTTTCAAATGTGTTAGAGTACTGCTTTGCATGCAGTTACCTTATCTGTTTCAGGCTATGACCTGGAACAGCTGTTACAGCTACAGCACTCACTACTAGCTAAGCAAAACAAGTTCAAACTGAAACTAAAACTCTGTTTGAAGCAACATAACTACACTAACTAAAAGGATAGACATATATTAATTGATAAGGATTCAACATAAATAGTCACTTCAATATAATGTGTTGTTCAACAGACATTTTTCTTGTATTCTTAGAGTATTTAGTGTGCATTAGCTTATGACACTCATATTGTGGTCAGGCCTACAGAGAGACACATTTTGTTTGTGGTTTGTCGTCATGACCGCGAGATGTTCCTGCAAAAAACTCCTTTTCTTTTGCACGAAAACAATGGCAACTTGTGCATTCTGCAGTTAAATAAAAAGTTGGTTATTATTGATGCTGACAAGAATGACAAAGGTATTTATTTAAACCTAGCAGTAGATCCTCACTTAACCTTATTGCATGATTTAGTTCCAAAAATATAAATTGTGTTGCACAGGTGAAATTAAAGTAGTTGATAATGTTGGATGTTGCTAAGTAGTACCCATATTGGATTGGTTTTACATGCTGAAGGTATTTAAGGTATAACAAGTTCATTTAAGTTGTCAAATTTAAAGCTACGCCACATCCTGAAGAAAGGTCACGACCATTTCCAACTTTAACAACACTCAACAGCCATCTGTGGTCTTTGAGGAACTGCAATGTTAGACCTGTCAAGTAGCCTAATTGTTACATAAGAAATGTAATTAGAAAACTAAAAGCTTGCAATATGTAAACATAATGCAAGTGGAGAGGCTTGTGATAAGCTATAGTGAGCCAAGGGCAGACAACAGGTTCCAGTTTCACACGTGTAACAAGATAAAACGTTCACTTCCTTCCCTGTTACAACTTTATTCTATTGTGAAACTTCCTGTAAAGCCTGAGTGACAATTTAAGAATTGTTTAAATAAACCTAAAATAACATAACGTTAGCTATGCTATGAAGAACAAGTAGAAAGTAGTTGTAACATTAGGCTACAGCAACAGCAAGAGCACACAGTCATGTTTATAAGGCTAAAGTGCTCAGCTAAAGTGTTACTTAGTTAACGGCATGTTTGGGGACAAACGTTAACGTTACGTACCGGTGAATGAAAGGTGAAATTAAAGTTGGAGGAATTCATTGACGTGGTTGGTGTCAGCCGTATCATCTTACTGTAAGTGGACCTCAGTGTTTACAAGTGAACTGGCGTGAGTGCAGGAATTTGAGTGAGCAGTGACGGAGCAAAGCAAACCTGAGGGCGGGACTTCATCCAGTCATCGTTGGTAACCATAGTAATGCCTGCTATGGAAAGCCGTCAGTGCCAAAAAACTGCACTATTTAAATCCGTTTTTAAGTCAAACTGAAAGCTTTTTAGAATGCTTATTTTTACAACTTTAAATATTGGCAGACATTTATTTTTTTACGTTTTAAAAATAATTGTTATCCTGCTAGAAAACAAGATTCAAGATTTTTCAAGATTCAAAGGTTTTATTGTCATATGCAGTGGCGTTTTTATATGTACAAAAGTGGCCGACAAAGCTTCACACATTGTCTTCTTCAGTGATTATTTGCTGATTCTTAAGAATAATAATTTGGAGTCTTAATTTCTCCTTCTCCAGCTCAATTTTGTCGTGTTCCGCTCTCAATTTTGCGATCTCCATCTCCACACGAACGATCTCTTTCTCCACCAGTTCACGCTGTAGCTCTGACAAATCCCTCTTTCTTTTTCGGGGTGTGGCCATTTGGGATTCCTCTTGAGTCATCGCTGACGCTGTGGGTGTGGGACTTCCCTCTTCTCTGCGGTCCTCTGAGTCTGTAAAATTGCAAATTACTGTCAGTTACTGTCAGTTATTGTCAGTTACTATCAACTGCCGCGATTGCTAATTGTTATCTTGCTAGCCGTGATGTCTCACGGGGGTAATGTTTATATAGATAATGTAGGGTGATGTTACTCTATTAATGACTTACCACTTACAGTATAGTGACAGCTGACACGTCTGCGTCAACCTCTTCAAATGTTGAGGTTGACGGCTCTGAGCTGTCGATTCCATTCAACCCCGTGAAAGTGGGGGAATCCTCTCCAAAAATAGCTATAATTATTTCGCTATATGTTGAGGTTTTTGGTGCAGGGCCTCCGCCGGTCGGCGGGTTTTTGAGAAACTAAGCATCTTTCTTGGCTCTGGATAGTAGGTCCTTACACCTTTTCCTACACTCTTCCACCGTCCGTATCCCTCCATCACCCAAGTCATTTATCGCACCAGTGATTGACTTCCAGGCTGCGAGTTTGTGTTTGTTTGTCATAGTGTTATTATATTTGGCAAGTCGGACGTAGCTAAGCCCGACGTCAGAGTTAAGACCTACTTTCTTACGCCCAGCTGGTGCACTCCACTCCAGGTGCTTTTTTAAACACGTAAACAAATAGCTGGCTATCCATGGTTCCGATAGGATAAAGAACAGTGACGTGCAGTGAGATTCATGGCTGGTGAGGCACTGACTCTTTCAGAGTCAGATTTACAAATATTATATTTTGACCTTAATCTAAATATTCTGTTATGTTCAAAAGATTTTTTAGTCTGATGTTTCGATACATTTTAAACAGACCGTTCAACATAAGGATACCCAAAAAATGTAGTTTCATTTAAAGTGCACCTATCATGCTATTTTGAGGCATATATTATGGGTCTCAGATATATAAAAATATATAAAAACATGTCTATGATGTGTTTTGCTCAAAATACAAACAGATCATGCATGTTAGACATCCCTCATATCCCTCTGTTTCAGGCCTGTTTAGAGAAACGCGGATTTTGGGTCCTTAGCTTGAAAAAAAAAAAAGAGGAGGCAGAGCTAATGCCTGATCAGAATTCTACCGGAGAAAAAGTTACATTCTGCTGTGATAAAATGCCATCCTGTTCTAGACCACATCAAGGATTATTTCTGAAACAGTATGGAGCTTAAATTATTTTTCTCTTGCGGGTTTACCACAAGGTGAGTTCCTTTTTTTATTTCCTGCTTTTTAAACACATTTGCTCTCCATTACAGGTTAACTCTGAGTGTTAGCGATGCTTGCTAATGTAACAAAATACCATATTACGTCCAAAACACGTCAGGCATTGTTTCTGATAGCAACTCTCTGTGGGTCCACCATCCGAACTTATGTAATATCGGCAGCAAATCTGTATCCGCTCATTGTACCCCCGTTTTTAAAAGATGTGGGAACGGAGGAAAAGAGAAAGGGTTTTATTTTCTGACACTGCGTGAGTTCCCCGACACACCGGGGAGACATATTTATGTATAAAAGACATCAAAAAGTGCATTTTGCATGATAGGTCCCCTTTAAATATTGGATTGTTCTCTCTTAGTAAGATCCAATTTTCAATACAATTGTGGTCTTACCTTGACTCTGAAGATGAAGTCCATTTGCCTATCCTTCTCTATTACTTTTTTGTAAAAGTCCTCCTTATCTTCTTCTAGTTTCAAAAGTCTAGTTTGTTGTTTGCGTCTACCGTCTCTGCGTAGAATAACAGTAGCAACAAGAACCTGTGGGCTCCTGTGCGCCCCCTTCAGTGCGGCAGAGGTTATGGCTGCCTCCCCTGGTGCTTTTTCAATGCCGTTGTATGATGAGACCAGCGAGCCGAAATATCATATACGTGAAATATGTTATTTAGAGACTATGGATGGCGAGGATACATGTAATAAGGCGGGGATCTACAAACATTACATTTGTGACCTACTGTACAGTGAGATGGTAACAGGCATGCGCTTAGTGGGTTTCTGCCAGCCAGTTTATGTGGGTTAAAGTGAGGCAGAGATGAGATCTGCCTCACCTTAACCCACAGAAACTGGCTGGAGCGCAGGCACAAAATAAGTGCCCGCGCTAAATTAGTGCCCGCGCTCCAGCCAGTTTATGTGGGCTTACTTGAGGCAGAGCTCGTCCCTGCCTCACTTCTCATCGCTCCCATGTAGTTACAGCGGAGCTCGGCACATTTGCCGATTTTGACTATAAAAAGCGATTGGAATCATACAGAAATCACATTTACAACACAGATCAGTGGAGACATTTTATTATTATTATTTTTTGACTGCACGTCGCTGATAGAGAGAGGGGGGGGGGGGTGTCGCTCTATGCAAGTCAATGGGACTCCCTGATAGTTGAAAATCGACGCTAAAGGGCCCCCCACTGCGTTGATAGTGACGCCAAGGGATCCTGACATATAGAGAGGCGAAGTCCCGCCCTTCTACTTCCGACCCATGGGACCTTATTTCGGAAAAATTATGTATTGAAGTCAATGGGGAGAGAAAGATTGTCTTTCGATCCCGTTTGAATTGTGCCACAAATTACACATATGATTTGTCAGTTTGTCAATCTTAAAAAATAATTTCCATGTCAAAAAAGTCACAGTTTGTCGTAAAACTGTTGAAATATAAGACTATGAAAAATACGCAACTAGAAAGACTACAAATCCTAGAGTCGCGTAAGTGAGCACGTTAGTTAGCATTACAGCCTTAGCCTTGTCATTTTTATTAGCCTTAACATGAAGTAACATTAAGTAACCCAAAATGTTAAACAGTAAGAGTAGTAGTCATATTTCGTGAACCCTTTAAAGAGTAGGCTACTGTCACACCGGTGTGATCATTCTATAATACACCGTTTAAGCCCGGATGCCCCCGGGGGAGAAATGCTAACGCTAACGCTACATTAGCATCGGCGATCTTTTCTACTTCATGCTATCTGCACAAATGGTTAACATTGAACATTAAAAAGATCAGGCAGTTCAGGGAGAATCAAAGGAAGGCAGGCAGGCAGCTTTGCATGACATTCTTCTGGACGTGTTTCATTGTGGTGATAGTGAGGGTAGTCAATCCCTTGTTTGGCAAGACAGTAGTGACGGCCATCTTGGTGACGTGAGTTGTTGTGCGAGACCAGAGATGTAGTTCATTGAGCGGTTTCACACAAAAAAAGTCTTACTTCAAAGTTTTACGGCAAAACATTTATTTTTTTACTTGCAAAATTATCTTTTAAATTGACAAACATCATATGTGTAATTCGTGGCACAATTCAAACGGGATCGAAAGATAACTTTTCTCTCGCCATTGACTTCAATACATAATTTTTCCGAAATAAGGTCCCGTGGAGGTCCCCCGGAGAGGGAGGGACTTTGCCTCTCTATAGGACGAGTTGGGAGTGAGAATGTGTTGGACAGTGACGAGAATACTCATTTCCGGCAGCGAGAGCTGCGTCCCTAGCAACCACGTTACTATGAAAACGCCGACACGGGAAATACTCTTTTCACGCCGAGAGACAATAGGCTTGTTTGAGATGAGCGAGACCGACGCAGACCTGCGCAATTGCGATCGCCGTCTTGCTAGTGCGTTGCATGATGGTTAGTCATTTTGTCCGACTTGCTCTGGAGGCTCGCCTACATGAGACTTTGAAATCTCGCGGGACAAAGACGCCGGCAGCCTTGAGAGCGAGGCAGCGCAGTTTCTCTCCACGGGCTGCGGAAGCGAAATGCTTGATGGGAAACGACTCGCTGGTATATCGAGCTGAGCGCTCATTGGTGGTTTTTACCCCGTGCTGGTGATGAAACTCTCCATTGGCTCGGCAAAAGTTTTATGTTGTTTTGTGTCAGTTTTACGTCACCACTTCCATTCACATTTTTCATCATTGTTCCACAATGTTTATCATCATGAAATTAATATCTATATATTTTATACTATACTTGCACTGCTTACCGTTTTCATACTTTATATATCTTAGCATATTCATACACACTGTTACCCTTCTCTTGCGTTTCGGGTCAAAAGTGACCGAGTGACTTTGTTTTTTATCATAAATATTGTGTTTTTCATCCAATTGCCTCAAGACCATATGTTATCCTCCACACTAGGCCTCTGAACATATACAATTGATGATCACCACTTGCATTGATTTTTTTGTGATTTATTCAACAGTGAAACACCCATGATGTTTTGACCGCCATAGGAAATGAATGGGTTTGAGTGTATTATGTTCATCCTGCAGATGGAAAACATCTCCACACACACACACACACACACACACACACACACACACACACACACACACACACACACACACACACACACACACACACACACACACACACACACACACACACACACACACACACACACACACACACACACACACGTGCTCATGTCCCCCCACATCTTCCAGACAAAACAATGTACTCTAAG